AAAATTAAATTATCGACATAATCGCTCAAGAATACCGCCAATAAAATAGGGAAAAAGTTTCGATCAAAAAATGTATGGCGCACTTTTTTATTGGTCCAGCGGATGCTGAGCTACACTCAAATCAATTTCGGAAAAAATTTTGAAAAATTAAATTTTCGAGATAATCGATCCGGAATACCATAACTGTCTTTAGCAAAAAGTAGCGAACAAAAAATGTATGGGGCACTTTTTGATTGGTCCAGCGGATGCTGAGCTACAGTAAAAAACAAATTTGGAAAAAATTACAAAAAATTAAATTATCGACATAATCACTCAAGAATACCGCCAATAAAATAGGGAAAAAGTTTCGATCAAAAAATGTATGGCGCACTTTTTTATTGGTCCAGCGGATGCTGAGCTACACTCAAATCAATTTCGGAAAAAATTTTGAAAAATTAAATTTTCGAGATAATCGCTCCGGAATACCATAACTGTCTTTAGCAAAAAGTAGCGAACAAAAAATGTACAGGGCACTTTTTGATTGGTCCAGCGGATGCTGAGCTACAGTAAAAAACAAATTTGGAAAAAATTACAAAAAATTAAATTTGCGAGATTAGCGGTCGGGAATAACACCAGTAAAATAGTCAAAAAGTTCCAAACAAAAAATGTATGGCGCACTTTTTGATTGGTCCAGCGGATGCTGAGCTACACTCAAATCAATTTCGGAAAAAATTTTGAAAAATTAAATTTTTGAGATAATCATTCGGAAATACCGCCAATAAAATAGGGAAAAAGTTTCGATCAAAAAATGTATGGCGCACTTTTTTATTGGTCCAGCGGATGCTGAGCTACACTCAAATCAATTTCGGAAAAAATTTTGAAAAATTAAATTTTCGAGATAATCGATCCGGAATACCATAACTGTCTTTAGCAAAAAGTAGCGAACAAAAAATGTATGGGGCACTTTTTGATTGGTCCAGCGGATGCTGAGCTACAGTAAAAAACAAATTTGGAAAAAATTACAAAAAATTAAATTTGCGAGATTATCGATCGGGAATAACACCAGTAAAATAGTCAAAAAGTTCCAAACAAAAAATGTATGGGGCACTTTTTGATTGGTCCAGCGGATGCTGAGCTACAGTAAAAAACAAATTTGGAAAAAATTACAAAAAATTAAATTATCGACATAATCGCTCAAGAATACCACCAGTAAAATAGTCAAAAAGTTCCGAACAAAAAATGTATAGCACACTTTTCGATTGGTCCAGCGGATGCTGAGCTACACTCAAATCAATTTCGGAAAAAATTTTGAAAAATTAAATTTTCGAGATAATCGATCCGGAATACCATAACTGTCTTTAGCAAAAAGTAGCGAACAAAAAATGTATTGGGCACTTTTTGATTGGTCCAGCGGATGCTGAGCTACAGTAAAAAACAAATTTGGAAAAAATTACAAAAAATTAAATTTGCGAGATTATCGATCGGGAATAACACCAGTAAAATAGTCAAAAAGTTCCAATCAAAAAATGTATGGGGCACTTTTTGATTGGTCCAGCGGATGCTGAGCTACAGTAAAAAACAAATTTGAAAAAAATTACAAAAAATTAAATTATCGACATAATCGCTCAAGAATACCACCAGTAAAATAGTCAAAAAGTTCCGAACAAAAAATGTATAGCACACTTTTTGATTGGTCCAGCGGATGCTGAGCTACACTCAAATCAATTTCGGAAAAAATTTTGAAAAATTAAATTTTCGAGATAATCGATCCGAAATACCATAACTGTCTTTAGCAAAAAGTAGCGAACAAAAAATGTATGGGGCACTTTTTGATTGGTCCAGCGGATGCTGAGCTACAGTAAAAAACAAATTTGGAAAAAATTACAAAAAATTAAATTATCGACATAATCGCTCAAGAATACCGCCAATAAAATAGGGAAAAAGTTTCGATCAAAAAATGTATGGCGCACTTTTTTATTGGTCCAGCGGATGCTGAGCTACACTCAAATCAATTTCGGAAAAAATTTTGAAAAACTAAATTTTCGAGATAATCGCTCCGGAATACCATAACTGTCTTTAGCAAAAAGTAGCGAACAAAAAATGTACAGGGCACTTTTTGATTGGTCCAGCGGATGCTGAGCTACAGTAAAAAACAAATTTGTAAAAAATTACAAAAAATTAAATTTGCGAGATTAGCGGTCGGGAATAACACCAGTAAAATAGTGAAAAAGTTCCAAACAAAAAATGTATGGCACACTTTTTGATTGGTCCAGCGGATGCTGAGCTACACTCAAATCAATTTCGGAAAAAATTTTGAAAAATTAAATTTTTGAGATAATCATTCGGGAATACCGCCAATAAAATAGGGAAAAATTTTCGATCAAAAAATGTATGGCGCACTTTTTTATTGGTCCAGCGGATGCTGAGCTACACTCAAATCAATTTCGGAAAAAATTTTGAAAAATTAAATTTTCGAGATAATCGATCCGGAATACCATAACTGTCTTTAGCAAAAAGTAGCGAACAAAAAATGTATGGGGCACTTTTTGATTGGTCCAGCGGATGCTGAGCTACAGTAAAAAACAAATTTGGAAAAAATTACAAAAAATTAAATTTGCGAGATTATCGATCGGGAATAACACCAGTAAAATAGTCAAAAAGTTCCAAACAAAAAATGTATGGGGCACTTTTTGATTGGTCCAGCGGATGCTGAGCTACAGTAAAAAACAAATTTGGAAAAAATTACAAAAAATTAAATTATCGACATAATCGCTCAAGAATACCACCAGTAAAATAGTCAAAAAGTTCCGAACAAAAAATGTATAGCACACTTTTTGATTGGTCCAGCGGATGCTGAGCTACACTCAAATCAATTTCGGAAAAAATTTTGAAAAATTAAATTTTCGAGATAATCGATCCGGAATACCATAACTGTCTTTAGCAAAAAGTAGCGAACAAAAAATGTATGGGGCACTTTTTGATTGGTCCAGCGGATGCTGAGCTACAGTAAAAAACAAATTTGGAAAAAATTACAAAAAATTAAATTATCGACATAATCGCTCAAGAATACCGCCAATAAAATAGGGAAAAAGTTTCGATCAAAAAATGTATGGCGCACTTTTTTATTGGTCCAGCGGATGCTGAGCTACACTCAAATCAATTTCGGAAAAAATTTTGAAAAATTAAATTTTCGAGATAATCGATCCGGAATACCATAACTGTCTTTAGCAAAAAGTAGCGAACAAAAAATGTATGGGGCACTTTTTGATTGGTCCAGCGGATGCTGAGCTACAGTAAAAAACAAATTTGGAAAAAATTACAAAAAATTAAATTATCGACATAATCGCTCAAGAATACCGCCAATAAAATAGGGAAAAAGTTTCGATCAAAAAATGTATGGCGCACTTTTTTATTGGTCCAGCGGATGCTGAGCTACACTCAAATCAATTTCGGAAAAAATTTTGAAAAATTAAATTTTCGAGATAATCGATCCGGAATACCATAACTGTCTTTAGCAAAAAGTAGCGAACAAAAAATGTTTAGAACACTTTTTGATTGGTCCAGCGGATGCTGAGCTACAGTAAAAAACAAATTTGGAAAAAATTACAAAAAATTAAATTTGCGAGATTATCGATCAGGAATACCACCAGTAAAATAGTCAAAAAGTTTCGAACAAAAAATGTATGACACACTTTTTGATTGGTCCAGCGGATGCTGAGCTACACTCAAATCAATTTCGGAAAAAATTTTGAAAAATTAAATTTTCGAGATAATCGATCCGGAATACCATAACTGTCTTTAGCTAAAAGTAGCGAACAAAAAATGTATTGGGCACTTTTTGATTGGTCCAGCGGATGCTGAGCTACAGTAAAAAACAAATTTGGAAAAAATTACAAAAAATTAAATTATCGACATAATCGCTCAAGAATACCACCAGTAAAATAGTCAGAAAGTTCCGAACAAAAAATGTATGGCACACTTTTTGATTGGTCCAGCGGATGCTGAGCTACACTCAAATAAATTGCGGAAAAAATTTTGAAAAATTAAATTTTAGAGATAAAGTCTCGGGAATTCCATAACTGTCTTTAGAAAAAAGTATCGAACAAAAAATGTATGGGGCACTTTTTGCATGGTCCAGCGGATGCTGAGATACAATGAAAAAAAAATTTGAACAAAATTACAAAAAAATAAATTTGCGATATAATCGATGCGGAATACCACAAAAGTAGTTAGAAGAAAGTTCTTAACAAAAAATGTATGGCTCACTTTTTGTTTCGTCCAGCGGATGCTGAGCTACACACAAATATATTTTGGAAATAATTTCGAAAAATTAAATTTGAGAGATAATCGTCCGGGAATATCGCCAAAGTCTAAACCCAGGAGCTTCAATCAAAAAATGTATTTCGCACTTTTTGATTGGTTTAATGGATGCTGAGCTACATTCAAATAAAGTTGTGAAAAATTTTTGAAAAATTAAATTTGCGAGTTAATGGTTCGTATATTGGTTTAATCAAGAAGAGCACCATACATTTTTTGTTCAGTTTTTACTAACGAAGAGGTTCTGAAAGGATCATCTCTTAAAATTAGAATATCGAATATTTATACATTTTTTTTCGCAAGTTCTAAAGACTTTAATTATTATATACTGGAGGTCCTATCTCGTAAAGAGAAAATGCGAATGTTTTCAACAATTCCTTTTTTTATTATCACTTTATTTTTATATACTGCCTCAAGTTTTTGCAGTAATTTCACTACAAGTTATACAAATGGTGCATCTAATTTTGTTTGTAAATGCAAATATTTTATGAAGCATGTTACTTTTTTTGTCACTTATAACAACGCAGTTTGTTGTTTATTATCTTTATAGTTTGTATTATTTTTTTAACAATGATGCATATGTTTTTATTGTTATTGATGAAGGATGTTTCAGCACATGGCACAGATGTCTTACTGGTTCTACGCAATGTGCAGACGCAAGCGCTTTGAACGTACAATGATTAAGAAACATAGCTTTAGGATCGTCGGGTAGTGTGCTTGCATTTACTACAGTGTGCAAATCTATTTGTCTTTTGCAGAATAATATTTTTTTTTTTCCCAACAATATAATCTTGACATTGCATTTAGTGTGTTTTCAATATTTTTATGGAACTTTTGTTTCTACTGTAGCATTGATTTGTTTTTAATTGATATGTTTTTATTTCTCTTTTTATAATTTAAAAATTTCTTTTCATTAAAATTTTTTAACATTTTACATCTTTTTGTTAGTATTGAGATTGTTGAAAATTTAAAAATTTGTTTTCATTTTTGCACAACTTAATTTTTATTCATTTATTTATGTTTACTTGTCTAATGCTGCAAGCAGACGTGCCACAGCCTCCGGCACAACCTCCACCCCCTTTTACATTAATGGGGATGGCACGTTTGACATCTCATTCTGAAGAACTAATTATTAACGATGTTCCTCGTGGTAAAAATAGCAGATTTAGTGAATATTTATTTAATAATTCTTTTTTACTGACTGCTGCAGCTACTGATTCTTCCACTATTGTTAATTCTCGTTCGGCTATGGAAGAATCAATGAGCAGATTATTTATCAACTCATCATCGAATGATGAAAGTGGTAACAACTCGGGTCAACCTACAGCAACTGATCGTTTGCTATATAGACATAGTATGGCAATGTCAGCTGTTTATTGTGTAGCATATATTATTGTTTTTGTTGTTGGATTAATTGGAAATATTTTTGTGATCGCTGTGGTGTTTCGAACACCCCGAATGAGAACAGTTACAAACTATTTTATTGTAAATCTTGCCTTTGCTGATGTTTTGGTCATCATATTTTGTCTACCAGCTACTTTAATGAGCAACATTTTTGTCCGTAAGTCATTTGCTGTAAACATATTTTTTTAATTCTATTTTGTTTACAATTAATTTATGTAAGTTCATCATTTTATGCAGTACTATGATTAGGAAATATTTCTTGATCACATTAGAAACTTGTATTTTATTTAGAAAAATGATAAGGATAATAAATTTATAATTATAGCTATAGATTTAGAGCAACCCTTTCTTACTGTGAATGCTTTTCTAAGTGTATTTGTGTAACCCCTCATGGCGGACATTGCTCCACTTTCAGGAGGCTTCAAGGTCTTCCATCCTGCACACAGGGCTGTAGGTGTGATAGCATAGCACCTTAATTTTTTTTACTTAATCTTTACGGTTCTATTCATACTTTAAATGTTGTTTGATTTCGTTATATATTATTATTAGTTTTAATAATTTGATTTATTATTTTAATTGATTTTTGTAAACACATTTAGTTTGCATTCGAAACATTTTTCTTCATTTGGGTTGAATATTTGTTTTTTTGTTTATTTATACTTTCATTTGCAGATATTATTTTAGTTTTGCAATTTAAAAAATTTTTAAAGTTATTATTTCTGTTCATATATATATATATATATATATATATATATATATATATATATATATATATAACAATTGCGGAAGGTCAAGGACATACATTCCTAAATTTAGATATACTATATCTCTTTTGTGTGTCTTAATAAAATTTAATTCATATATTGTTTGCTCAAATAGTTTTTTTTAACTATTTAAAAAATTCCGTTGTAGTAAACTATGTTTTGATGTCCTTGAAACCTTTGTTTAACAATTTTTATTTAAAAAGCAAATTATTTATTTAGTTTATTGTCTTTCCAGATATAATTGATTGTTTCTTATTGTCCATTCAATTTTGCTATGTTTTATTTATTTCTTTAGTTACTACCAAATTCTTTTTTTATTTAAGGTGAAATTGCTTTATATATTGACTGGGGTAGAGGGCAGTAGGACACCTGTATAGGAGCGGAATTCAGGTCATGCATCTCGGTCACTTGTACTAGGTCATTCTTGTGCCTAGGTTGTTGTTGTTATTATTAATTTTTTTTATGTCTTTATTTTTTTCATCTGCTACGAAGTTACCAAAATTAGTTATATTGATTATATATATATATATATATTTTATATATATATATTAGGTTTATCACTCATTGTAAAATAAAATTATCTAATATAATTTTGGCTTTACACTGTAAAAAGAAAGTACTACATTAGTACCAATTTTAGGTATCAAACTAAAACCAAATGACAATTTAGTGCCTAAATTTGGTATTAAATTAATACCTTTTATTTTACAGTGTATTATGCACTTTCTAATTTTTATTTAGTTTGTCAAGATATACATACTGAAAAATGCAAATTTCGGATATTAATAGTAATATAGGGGAGAATGACAAACAGTGGGACACTTTTTTTCAAAGACATATTAATATAGCAATTTTATATATTTTTGAACACTTTTTGGTATTATTATAAAGTTTAAACTCTTTTCTACACAATGCACATATTCTATTAAGATTATATTGTGATTAAATAAAAAAATTTGAAGTTTTTGAAACTTAATACATTTTTCTTGTTTTGAAGGTTTGTGTTTAACAGTGGGACACCTATTATTAAGAACCGAATAATTATTTCAATAATAATATTCTGCTTCATACTTTGTAAATATATATTTTTTGCATTAAATAACGTTAACAAATGTTGCAAAACACTCATTATTTAATAATATTTTACATTTTTATAATACGATGTCAAGTTTCATATAAAAAATTGCTATTATTTTTTTTCACGTTTACAGTACTGCTTATCATACGTCATAATTTGGTCATAACTTAAAAACAATTTGGAGCAAAATTTGAATAGTCGTTCTCTTATCAAGTGTTACTTTTTAAATGTTGTTGAACAATAATTGTAATAATTATTAATTATAAATTTTGAATTTTTTATTGTTTTTTAGCATAAAAAATCACATTTTTAGTCGTTGTGTAAGTATAAATGCGCATGCGTATAGCTGACACAACTTATAATCAGTGTTGCCACAATCCACGTTTCATAAACTTAAATTTTTCCCTGTCCCAGTGTTGAATGTCCCACAGTTTAAATTAAGCAATCTCAAAAAATTATTTAAATAAAAATTGTTTTTGAAATTTTTAAATATTTTAAATTATTGGATTTTATTTATACTTAAAAACATAAGTAAACGAAGTAACAATTACACTTTTTTTTAAACTGTCCTATCTATATAAAAATCAGCATTGTATTTCAAGAAAAAATTTACTCTGGTACGTCAAAAACAGTTTTTTTCAATTTTCTTTGTAAATAATGAATCAATGTTGCTAACATTTTTGGAGATAGTGTGTTGTCATAAACATGGTTTACATTTAAATTTTGGTCGGATTTCTTTAAGTAGTTTTTCAGAAAATTAAAGTGTCCTACTGTTTAAACTGTCCTACTGTTTGTCACTCTCGCCTATTCATATTCTTTTTTCCACCAAAAATGCTAAAAAAGATTTTGAAATTAAATTTAAAAGTTTATTTTCAAAAATAAATATGTTAGACCTGTGGACCTCCTGTCCGTATCCAGTTATTTGGATATCTCTAGAATGTCCTCAGAGTATAAATGTCTATCTGACAACATGAACATTTTTTAGTTCATTCATGCACAACTTTCTTGATTTATAAAACTATATATTGTTACAATTTGTTTCATTCAATCTAGTTAATTTTTAATTACAGACTATATTTTTTAATTAAGAAACTTTTTTTAGTGTTCCCGCAAAACTGGTTTAAAATAAATTTGTTTCTCAAATAGTTAATTAATAACAATTATTCCTAATTTTTGTTATCAGAAATAACTTTCAACTTTCCTTGAAGCGACGTTTTATTTTATTTATTCAATTAAATTGTCAATTTTATAACAATTATACATTATTTCAATATTGACTTTTGAGTTTCTGAAACTGTTATAATTATGATTACGTTGTTTCATTTAAAATAATAATAATAATCTTAATTTTTTTCAGCTTGGGTTTTCGGATGGTTTATGTGCAAAACTGTTCCTTACATTCAAGGAGTATCTGTTGCTGCTTCTGTATACAGTCTTGTTGCAGTTTCCTTAGACAGGTAATAGTATTCTATTTTTTATAATTGGAGTCATATTTAGAAAGCTTACAGTGAGCTTTATATGTGTGCCATATAGTATGGCATATAGTATGGCATATATATAGTTTAAAATTGCTATAATATTATACAGAACGTTTATTTTAAGCTTCTCGTGTGACTCATATCAGAGAAACTGACCAGTCCCCGAAATGACCGTGATAATTTTTCTAATTAATGACCAACTTATGGAAAACTGATCAGGGGCTTGTCAGTTCTCCTATTTTGCAAAATAATTTTTTCAAAATCTAAATTCTGGTGAAAGCCCCATTATCAAAAAAATATTAAACCACTAGTATAAATGATAAATTTTATTGATTACTTTTTTGTGAAAGTAATTTTAAAAAATTAGTTTATTTACATTTTCATCAAACAGTGAAAACTGGTGAGGCCCTGAGTAAAGCCCTACTTTAAATAGGGCAGAATGGGGCAATTTCTGCACTGGTTACATTATACATACAGGGTGTTCCAAAAGTATGGAAACTTGCAAATATCGCGAAAACTACGCATTTTCGTGAAAAATATTCAAAACTAAAGTTGTTCCCAAAAAAAGATCTACATTTTTGAAGCCAAAAAATTGGTCCCGGGACTCGACAGCGGAAAAAGAAGTATCACGAAAATGCGTACTTTTCGAGATATTTGCAAGTTTCTATACTTTTGGAACACTCTGTATATAAACTTACTACTGCTACATTTTGTGTTTTGACCTCTTATAAATAATATACGTGCTCTAAATGTGTATACCTTATAGGATATCATTTTTCTTCTTTCTTTGTTAATACATGTGTACATATATTTATTTGCACTTTTTGAAAAGAGATTGTAACTTTCAATAAACGGAACTATATGTTATGTAATATTACTCTGCTCAAGTTACTTTATTATTGGCAGCTTTGTATGCTCTATTTAACTATTATAACTATTTTTATTCATTTTTATTATTATTGTTATCAAATGTTTGAAAACTAAATTGCATATGCCTCTATTAAAATAATCAACTCTGTGATAACTTTTATTTTCTTATCATTAAAATAAATTACTTCAACAACTTTTGTCAGTTGGACTCATATTTGTTGCATCTCAAAATGATTTCATGTTAAATGACGTAGAACGTGGCGCCATCTGCCTGTCTCACTTTTGATGCGTATCCAATTGAGTATAAATTTTGTACTCAATTTGAGATTATGTTTTTTCTGTGAGCTAATATTAATTTGGTTTTATGTACTCTCTAAATCTGAATAAGTACATTTTTAACTAATTTGAATAACTCACTTTTTGTTAAAAAATTAGTAAAATTTTAAACTAATTCAAAAGCCAAATGTCAGTCACTAATTTAAATTAGTTAAAATTGCTAGTAATTCTTTAGAGAGTACAATCAATCAGACAAAAAACATAAAAGTTCCTTCTGGGGCAAAAAATTAAATGTCTATTTAGGCAGCTTCCGATACATTATACTGTTTTAATTATTTGATAATTTATTAACTATTGATTCACATAATAGTTGTCAAAATAAATCTGATGATTTATTCTAATTCTAATTTTTCCATGAGGAAACTCAAGTATCACCAAAAATAACATGTAAACTTGCCGTAATCGTTCATAAATATTTCATTGCTTTTTTGCATCTTTTCAATCCTTCGGTAATCTTTCATATATTGCAAGCCTGTCAAAGTGGAATATTAAACTATTTTGCATGACGGTAATCCAAGCAACTCTTTAAAATTGTTTGAATGTTGAACTGATACTTCTCCAAAGACACATTGCATTTATATTAAAATTATACCAATTATATACTAATTGAATAATATATTTGTATATGAATATGATATACTAATTGAATAGTATATTTATTAGAAAATCAACACTTGACGTTAATGTCGGCTTCGATGTAAATTTTCTTACTAGACGAATGTTGCTCTGTAATAATTCAAGTAAATAGCCATAAAGATCTGTTTCCATCTTTGTAATCATAAATGTAGATTATATTATATTTCATTGATCTTATGATTGGTCTAATATACTGCCCACAGAATAAAAATTTAGCAGCCATGTGGCTGACTCAACCTTCCCTTCATTTAGCGTCATTATTGCTTTTCACAAGCACATTCTTGTTTCTTATTTGTTTATCTAGTTTTGATTTTTAATTCTGACAATCTGTATAAAATGAGGGGAGCTCTCTATTCCGATACATAAGTTTACAATCTTTCGAGAAATTATCATCTTTCACTTAAGCATCATGTTCAAACTGGTAAGTTTTATATAATGTATTTAAGAAACATGAATATAATTAATTTGTAATTGATTGTTTTGTTGAAAATTATTTTTACAACCATTAAATCATTTCAAATGAACAAGTTAATCAAAAGAAAATTTTTTTCAATGATAAATAAGTTTAGAGACTTTGAACAGTTAAAAAAATAATAATTCAATATTGCCGTTTTGCATTACAGAATAGAACGTCTGGAATTTTGTTTTGTATCTAAATCTCATTGGGAAGTTTTCTCGAATTATTTCTTCGCATGTGGAACACTTTTCTGTTCTGGCGTTGAGATATGAGCAACCAAAGTTTTTGTAGTTGCCTCAACAAAATTTTGTTTGTTTCAAGCAAACTTTAGTTGACAGAACCAAAATTAGGAAAATAATTTTTGTTGTCTTAAATAAGGTTTGGTTAGGAACAACCAAAATTTTGTTGACATAACAGGAAAATTTGATTGCTTAAATACCAACCAAACGTTTTGTTGACAAAACAAAACCCTTTTTTCAGTCTATACATATACAAGGAACTTTGGTCATAAAACCTCAATTGAAACGCTATGAAAATGAAATAATTTGGGGAAACGTTCCAATACTATTAAGAAAATTTTGTTTAATGATTGTTTACATAATTTTATTAAAAGAAAATGTTTTTCTAAAATAGGCTATACTTTCTGCCATCCTGGCTATTGCTACTGCTTTCCCTGGGGGCCTTACTGGTATTGTTTTAAATCATGATTTGGGACCAATTCATACACCTCAGGTTATCAGTCATGGGCATGTGAGTCATCCTCATATCATTGCTCAGCCAATAGCTCCTGTTGTTCACAGTGCTCCTATCGTAACTAGAACTTTTCTACCCTCTCATGGACACGTCCTTGGACATGGTCTTCATGGACTTCATGGTTAAAAAATTAAAATGCAATCATCATCATCATTATTATTTAGGTCTTATTGGTTATTTGTGTTTAGTTAAAAAAAACATTTGGATTAGCATTTAAATTTTCTACTATTGCCTGGAAATGGTACATATCCTTATACAAATCTAAAATTTATTTTCTGAAAAATTAAAAGTTCGTTAATTAAATTATAAATCATGTTCATTGTGTTTAGTTTCATTGACATTTGTTGAAATTTATAATAAAATTAATTTTCTGTCAAATCGTAAAAATTTGTGAACCTTTAAAAACTCTATCCTAATAATATACCAATGTAGTTTTATAGTAGTGAATATGTGAAATATATGTTTTGTATTTTTGTTATCTGATATTTACCGTGCATCACAAGCAGGTCTCATTGCAAGCTTACACCTACTATACAACTGGTGAAATACTGTGGAGAACAAAAAATTATTCTTGTCGAATTTTTATAATTATATTAATTTAATTACCTTTATCTCATTTGGATGAATTGCCTGCGTTCTATATACAAAATTAGGTGCAAAGTTAATTAAAGATCAAAATTGTCATTAAATACGGGTATAAAAATAAAACTAATCATACTATAAAAAGGGAGTTTGATTTTAACTTCTAACGGACTCTATAAATATCCCACGTTTTTGGAGGTGAAGCAAAGGGAGTTGATGCTATAGGAGCTAATTTTATGCCTAGAAAGTTATAAGGCTAAGAGAGTTAATTTATGGTTAAATTCACATTATTATTTTTATATTATAACTTACGTAAATTTAACTTTATTCAAAATTAAGTAATTAATAATTTGTTCCATTTATTTATTTTTCAGATTTCTGGCTATTTGGTGGCCGTTAAAATGTCAGATTACGAAGAGAAGAGCTCGACTCATAATTTTGTTCATATGGCTCATTGCTGTAACAACAACAATGCCCTGGCTGTTATTTTTTGATTTGGTGGCAATATATGAAGAGGATCATCCAGATTTAAGATTATGTATTGAAATGTGGCCCAGACCACAGTATGGTTCTTTATTTTTTCTTATTGATAATTTGATGCTCTGTTATGTTTTACCAATGTTGTTAATTTCCCTTTGTTATGTGTTAATTTGGATTCGAGTTTGGAAGAGGCATATTCCTACAGATGCCAAGGATGCACAAATGGAAAGATTACAGCAAAAGTCCAAGGTTAAAGTTGTTAAAATGTTGGTTGTAGTAGTTATTCTCTTCGTACTGTCTTGGTTACCACTATATGTTATTTTTACCAGAATTAAATTGGGTGGGGACATTGCTGATTGGGAAGATGAAATTTTGCCCATTGCAATACCTATTGCGCAATGGTTGGGATCAAGTAACTCTTGCATTAATCCAATACTATATGCATTTTTCAATAAAAAGTATAGGCGTGGTTTTATGGCTATTTTAAAAAGTGATAGGTGTTGCGGTAAATTACGCTACTACGAGACTGTAGCTATTATGTCATCTTCTACAAGCATGAGAAGATCGTCATATTATGTAAACAACAATAATAATAATAATAACAATAATAATAATAATTTTCACCATCATCATTCGACAAGGAGAAATTTTCATGGCCCTCCTATTCATCAAGATAGCAATGTTTCATACATTTGTAACCACAATGGTGTGTAAAGCATTAAATGGATTGATTTCTAAATCGAATACCGTGTTAATTGAAAGTAGACGTCCTTTGACGCTGCTTAAATCAGCCGTGGTAGGCTGAATCAAGCCGGATGATGAGTTTATCTGTATGTCAGGTTGGAACTCGTTCCGGAAGCTGGGTACAGTATGTACAGTGCACATTATTTGTGCACATACCGACAACCACTACCAACTATATAGTACACAATCGTGTTGAATGCTTTCTGAAAGCAATGATTGCGCTTTTAAAATCTCACACGCAATATTCAAAAAGAAAATTGAAAATGATGTATTTATCAAACTACAGCGTAATTCCTAATACATCACACAAAATATTAATTATTCATCAATTTATTTTGCTCCTGTATCAACTTATGTATTTCATTTTAACTCAAGTGTAGCATATATATTTATTTGCATCATTGTCATCAGTTGAAATTTTCTTATCGCAATTCTGTTAAAAGTTTATTATAGCATCCTATCTGGAAATGATATTTCAAAAATATTTCATCAAGAAATACTACTTAATAAGTAAAGGAATAAATTTCTTGTTTTTATTTATTTATATATATATATTTATTTATTATGTTGAAATAATATTTCTTTATGCGTTTTAACATAGAAATCTAGAAACAAGAGTATCTGCAATTTTGATAAAAATTTCAATCGGTGTTATATTTATATTCTATAACTTTTTCTTTCATTGTCGACATATAGATATGTACTGCTTAGAAAAATTCAAGTTTGATCTCAAAAATGTAATTACTTTCTAGGAAATAAAAAAAAATGAAACTTACTCGCTAGACATACGCGAGTATGGATGTATGCAATATTATCTGAAATATTCGCAAATAATATGAAAAATAATGTCTTGTGTTAAATAAATAATCAATTAAACTTCTTGTTTGTTGTTTACTTTTAATTATATATAAAATCTGCTTTAAAGTTCCCAATGTATTATCCCCATTTTAAATCAATTTTTGAAGAAAAAATATGATTTCGTTATGAAGATGCGCAGCAAATAAATATTGTAAAAATTGTTAGAAAAATATTTATTGATTTATTTAGAAACAATATAAGAATTGTAACCGTACATACAACAAATCATGTTTAATTATTTCAAAATATGCAATATATTGTAAAAATATTTGTACCTGTTGTAAAGCGAATACCGCGCGATTTATTGATACTCTCTTGACAACCACTGTGAAAATATTTGGGTAGGCAGACGTCTCAGCGTTGAGAGAGCTGCGTTACTTTACTCAAAGTATGACTGAGATTCCGTTTTGGGAGCGGTGCGCTACCGGCACGGGTGAGCAGCTGTCTTATTGACAAGGTAAGGCTATGAAGGAATATCAGCTCTACCACTACGGGCAGTTTGAGCTCCTGAAACGGGATGTCAGCCGATCAAAAAAGGGATCGTTAGCGTTCTTCGATTTGATAGAGCAGCTGTACTCTCTAGTACTTGCTGCTCACCCGAATTTTTTTCAGTGTAGCCATCCTTACGAGGTCGTACTTTTTTAATGACAAAAAAAATCATCTTTTCCATGAATAATAATAACAATAAAAAACAATCTTTTCTGCAATCTAATATTCATATATACAATTATTTTTTCTCATCTTTCTCATTTTTTTAAAATGTTTTAAAATTTTAAAATCACTTTATAATGAAGTTTTTTTTTAATATTATCAACTATTATTTAGTACAACACTTGTCTTGGATTTCCTGCACCTGAAATTAATAATATAATTAAATTATATATAATACTATAAACTTGCCATACTATGAGCAATGGAATAAATTTTTCAAAATGATTTTTAGCATTAAAATTTTCGAAATTTGTACCTCGGCGTTAACTTGACATTGATTCGAATTGAACTTGACATTAAATGACGTTCTCTCTAAATCTGAATAAGTGAAATTTCACTTAAAATGTGTCAAAAGTCTTCCACGTAGAAAAATAAGTGTATATGCACTTTTAAATAAGTGGTTTTCACTCAAAAATAAGTGAAGTTTCACTTATTTTTAAGTGCATATACACTTATTTTTCTACGTGGAAGACTTTTGACACATTTTAAGTGAAATTTCACTTATTCAGATTTAGAGAGTTAACTGCACATTGACTTGACTTGAATTAGCTTATCGACAAGGTACAAATAAAGAAATTGTTAAAGTTGGAAAATTATAAATTGACAAAAAAAGGTTTCATGTCTTACCAGATTGCAATGGAAATGTATTTATAAATATTGATGGTTGCTGTTGTTTATGAATTAAAATATCCTTCATGTTATTTTCCCCAGAAAAAATATCACATTGATTTTCTTGTTTTTCAATACTTTTTTTATGTTGCTGTCGTCCATTAGATGTTATTCCATGTCGTTTTTCGTGACAAATTATTGGAGACATTTGAGTGGGATAGATTGTAAAAGATTCAATATTTGACGATAATGAATGTGGTTGAAATGATTTGAGAGAATCTTCATAGCTGCTGAAGAATTAGAAATATATGTATGAAAAATATTTCTAATAGAAATTAGTTATAATCGTTTTTTACTAACTTGCTGCTTCTTTGACTAGATGTTTCCGAATTATAAATGTTGTTACAATGACATACGCGTGTAACTACTCCAGAATCATGACAACAGGAATATAAAGATGTCGTCGACTTTACAAATTTCTTATCAGTACCCATAGAATCTCTGCAGTTAGGAAAACTAGTGAAAAATTGTTCAAGTACGAGTTACACTCGCTTACCTAGGATTCCGTTCACGATTATTAAATTTAAATATTTAAATATAATATTTCAAAAGGGTTAGCTATATTTTTCGTGAAATCTACACATAAAATTAAATATGTGTACCAAGTTTCAGCTTCTTAGCTACAAAACTGTAAAAGTTAAAGAGGGGAAGGATACGTTTTTTTTTCCAAAATTTCGAGTTTTTGGAATATAACAATATTCAATTCAATTCCAATCGGGTTCTCTATAATTTCCCTTTAATCTTCTTGCAAAATTATGTAAGTATACCAAATTTGAGCATCGTAACTTCAAAATTGTGAAAGTTAAGGGTGGGACACACTTTTTTCCGAAATTTCGAGTTTTTGTACTATAACTATATTAAATTCAATTCCAATCAAGTTCGCTATAATTTCCCTTTAATCTACTTTCGAAATTACGTGTGTTTACCAAGTTTGAGCCTAATGGGTTGAAATTGCTAGATTTTAGAGGGGGGGGGCAGGACTTTGTGGACGGACATGAGTTAAACCATAAGGGTTCCGTTTCGGTGCACTGCGTGAACGGAACCCAAAAAATTAATACATATTCTCTAAATATCGTATAGGAGTACTATACATGATACTTTTAATTGAGAAAGCTTATTCTCAAAGCAGACCGAATTAAAAGAAAACAATTTGTCACAATTGACTAACATTAAGGTGACATATATTGAGGATTAATTTACAAAATATAATATGTACAATCAAAAAAAGATTTACAGTTACCTAGATAATCTTATGTCGCTATTTGATTCATGATCATGAGTGTTCTGATGAAGTTGAAAATTTTTGCTAAATAATTGCTCCAAATTAATACTCTGCATCTGATGATTCGTGAGAATGTTTGTTGTTAAGAAAGGGGTAGTAGACTTTGGAATTCTTCTGATACATAAACATTACACTTTAATAATATGTGCAAACTATAGAAATTTGTTTTAAATTAATTATATAGATAAATGATGGTATATATCTATTATGTAACATATCAGTAAATTAATTTTTAATGAAATGCCAATTACGTCAATTTATTCAAGTATCATTGGCAAAGTTTGCTTTGGTTTACAATATATAGTAATATTTATTTATTAAAAAAATGTAATTTTTAGTAAAGTTATGGATTTATTAATCATGCCTTACCTTTTACATGTTAAGTAAAGAAATGTTGAAAAAGTTGCAATAAAAACGATACAACTTAACATTATACCACCAACTTGAAAAAATGACATGAGAAACCGTTGTTGTCTTGGTAGATTCGTATTATTAGTCAAAGCGATATGAATTTTCAAAACTATCTCATCTGTAAGATTTCCACCATCTATTGCTCTTACATATAGCCAAATATCTATTTCTGATGGTAGTTTTTCAACAATAGAAATTTCTCCAGATTTTGAATCGATTATAAAATGTTTTTGATTTAACTGACTTAAATCGGATTTATTTTTATACTTTTCAGATTGAATACTATAAGTTATAAGGGCATTTTCATCTTCATCGTTATCATGAGCTTCCAATTTTAGAATCTTTGTACCTAACGTAACATTTTTTGATATATAGAAAATAGGTCTTTGTAATATTTTAATTTTATTGTAGGAGTCGTAATAATTTAGATAATAATCTTGATTTAATTCATCTTTATGAATGAAAAAATTTGCTCCATCAGCAATCAATGCATTATTAGTATTAGTGTCCTCTGCATTTCCTAATATCTGAATATTTTGATCAGCAATTAGTTTTATTTCAGTAAAATTAGGTGCATTGTCATTTATATCTTGTATTTTAATTGTTAAATTGGCCTCAGATTGAAGACTGCCTGTTGTAAAAAATGGGTTTTAATAAAATTTTTGTCAAATTATGGAATGAATTGAATCGCTGGAAACAATAAGGGGACGTACGTTCGGCTAAACACTGTAAAGCCAGTCAAACGGTCAAAATTATGAAAAAAATTGAAAATCGAAATTTTAATTTTTGAAAGCTACTACCTTATAGGAAATGAAAAGACGCATTTTTTTTCCTTTGAGATTTTTTCATAAAACGAATAGTTTAAAAAAAAATAAAATTATTATCTATGGACCGAAAGGCGTTTAAATATTAAATTCCAAGTAAATTCATTAATATTTATCGAAGATACAACGGTTTATGTTTAACCCTTTCAGTGTCACTGACGCCTATAGGCGTCATGACTTAGACTGGCCACCAGTGTCAATGACGCCTATGACCAAAATCCTCGTAATCAGCGACCCCAAAAACCCCCGAGTAACGATTTTCAGGCAAATTGGATCGATTTTTGAAATCTACATTTTTCTTGACACTGGTGGTCAGATTTTTGTACTTTAGCCTGACACTGAAAGGGTTAAAAATTGAATGAATTTTGAGAATTTAAATTTTACTGTTTTTTGTTATAATTTTTTAAACTATTCGTTTTACGAAAAAATCTCAAAGGAAAAAAAGATGCGTCTTTTCATTTCCTATGAAGTAGTAGCTTTCAAAAATTAAAATTTCGATTTTCAATTTTTTTCATAATTTTGACCGTTTGACTGGCTTTACAGAGTTCAGCCAAGCGTACGTCCCCTTATTGTTTCCAGCGATTCAATTGTATCATTTCAATTGTGTTAACTTCATTTTAGAATTATTTTATATATTATACACAAAATTATAGTTCAACTACCTGTAGGTATATTATATGCAAAAGTAGCATCAGGCTGTTTATTTTGCAGAATAAAAATAATCTTTAAAAATCGAAAAAATATATATTGTTGAAGCAAAGTCTGTCTTCTTATGTTAAAATATAATATAATGATGAAAAATTACCTTTATCAATAGCAACAATTTTCATGTTGTAAATTGATTTTATTTCTCTATCCAAGTTTTCATTCGTTAGCGCTTTATAAAAAATTTTTCCAGTATTCTTCTCCACTTTGTATGAATGGCTGTCCCCATTACCATTATCCCATATATCAAATATAAAAGTTCCATTAATACCATTATCTATATCCGATGCAAATACTTTATTTTTCATTACTATCTCTGTACCTGTAGGGCTATTTTCTACAATGTACCCTTCATAAGAGTTCGAATTAAATACTGGTGCATTGTCATTCTCATCGTCAACAATTATTGTTATCTATAATTAAATTTGATTCTTTTACCTGATTTTATTTTCATATAAAGATTGTTATATAAATATTATTAAGAATGTAATAATACAATTGCTTTGTTATTATTTTTTTTACAGATTATTCTTCTCCACATATAGTTTTTAAGGTAAAATATTTTGAAAGGTTATATACATTAAGTGTTTAAAAAGTAAGAGTACTATGTATTTCAAAATGTTTCTTTTTGTAGTGCTTTTATGTCAATCTTGTAGATGTTAAACATTTCACTATTTGCCGCTGTCGCAGTTTTACCTGATATCTATGTGAATTAGTTAAAAATATTCTTAAAACAGTTTATTTCAATTTATTGTTTATAAAATGCAAAGCATATTCTATTTACATAATATAAGTTAAAGGGAAATTATTACTTACTTGAATAATTTCAATTTCAGTTGAAGTTTCTCCTTTTATTGTAATACTATAATTCTCTTTTTCCTCTCGATCTAAGGCATGATTTGCATACAGAAATCCATCACTTGTTAAATTTATTTCTGGAACATCTTCCTGATTAGTAATACAAAATTTAGAGTCCTCATACATTTTGGAAGTTACTGATTCAACTCGACCAATGAATAAATTATCCGAATTCTCGCTTATATGAAAAACTTGTGAAGTATTTATTTTCTTGCTAAGAAAAGGGTTTATAAAAATGGTCAAATTCTCTGAGAGTAAAGTAAAATTTTTTTTTAAAACATTTATACCTTTTAAATAACTAGGCATAATGAAATTTTTTTACACATGCATTTGAAAGTATGATTCTTTAGTAACATTTTATATACTGATATAAAAATTTATGTATGCCTATTATTTAAAAATTATAAATATTTCAAAAAGATCAATTGTACTTGAAGTAGGTAGGTTAGGCTGTCACGTTACAAAAGTTTCAATTTTCTACTAATTTGACCAAATCATATTATGATGGTTGATATTTTAACTAATTTTTTTTATATCCAATGAGTACCAGGGTGAAAAAACATTCTGGGAGTCAAATGTGTCCAAGTATGAAAAATTTTTCCACATGGGAAAAAGGCCGATTAAAGTAATAATAATAATGATCCAACATATGAATTCAATATATTTTTTATAGCTTCAATATATTATGTAATTTGTTGTTATCTTACGGTCGGAATATTTTATTTATTTTATCTATGTTGCTATCAGTATTGATGACATTGGAATCTATATGTATGGTCACATTAGCTATCAAAGCAATATCATTGTTATTAATTATTACTGCCTCAAATTCATAGATTAGTTGTTCGTATTTTCTAATTTCATCAACAACAGTTATAATTCCTGACTTCTCTTCTATAGCAAAAGGGACTGTAATAAAATTTTTAAAATATAATACATGTCACCTATAATTGAGAAAATATTATTAAGTAATATAATATTATTTATATATATATATATATATCGAGGATGTATGCACAAACAATTACAGTTTATTAGTAAATAAAATTTTAAATATATGGAAAATATTTTGGTTGATTTACTAAAAGAAAACTTTAAACATATCTCACCGCCTTCTTTGTAACTGTGTAGTAAATCAAATATATATGTATCTTTCATGGAATTATTTATTAAAATTTGTCCTACAGTACTTCCAATAGGAACATCTATCCCTATCCAAAATTTGTAAGGTATTCCAATAAATTTTATGACTTCAGAATTATAATCTGTGTAAATATATGTATAAAGAATTTAACAATTTTTTATTATAAAGGGTATGGCAATAATATTTCAATTATATATCTAATATTATAGGTAATACAGGCAGTTAAATTTCGCTAAGAAAATACAATTATTGTTATTATGATTATGATTAATTGATGAATTATTATTATCAGTGTACCGAAATTAAAGTATTATAAAATATATACTGACCAGGTGATTGAATTATATTTATTGTAACAACAGCCAAAGAGAATCGTTTTTCACTAGGATTCAGAGGATTATCCATAGCTTCTATGAAGATTATATACTTGCCAACTATTATTGGACTGTGTGTTACATAAATTTCACCTGTATATGTATCTACTGCAAAAGGAGATGTAACATTTTCTGTTCTTTGTAGACGATATGAAACCAACCCATTTCTTCCTTGATCTCTGTCAATTGCTTCAACTTTTCCTAATGTAGCTCCAATTTTTACATTTGATAAAGATATTAATTCATAATAATTGCTTGGAAAGAAAATTGGATTATTATCATTAACATCTAAAATCATAACTTCGACATTTACAAATGATGATGTTTTTAAGCATATTATATTTGTAACATTCACTTTACTATTATCGTTGGTAACATTTGTCCATTTTTTCACTGCATAAACTTTCATTTTTATGACTGATTGTTTTTCTCTATCAAGAATTGATGAATTTCTCACAATTAACCATCCTGAATTGGGTTCTACCAAAAATGCACCAGAATTATCTTCTAATTCGTATGTGAATTCGTTAGTACGAACTCCATTATGTGCAATTACTTGTAAAACACTAAATCCATTTGGTAAGTTTTCTACAATACTAATATTATAAAATTCTACTTCAAATTCTGGACCATTCAGTTCGAACTCCACTTTATCTGAAGATGATTTTAGTGAATTAAATATTTGAGATCCCTGAATCTGACACTCTGAAAAAAGGAATAAAGTACCTAATTAAAAAAAATTGACCAAAACTTAAAACTTGAAACTTAAATGCTTTTATTTATTAACATTTAATTTAAATATTAAATTTTTCCCGCTAAATAATTACCTTTCGCATAAATAAATTTCAACTTAATAAGTAGAAAAATTAAGACTATTTGACAAATATATCTATTAATACGACTTAGTACGTATATTGTATTGTTAACTTCAGGCGACATAGTCCTTAATAATTGCAATCTGAAAATCAATTGTCAGAATTTAATAATAAATATATTTTTATACCAAAATTTGTAAATTTAATGTCACATATTTGTTTAACTTTTAATGATATCATTTACGTATGTTTTTTTCGTTTTGGTACAGTATATAAGAAACCTCAGTTGTTCTTAATATTTGTGTTTTATTGTCAATTTTATTTCTATTAATTTATTAATATTTAAAATTTTAGAATACAAAATGTAAAATATAAATATAGACCTATATCTGTGATGCAGTAAATTCTAAGCTTGTAGGCAAACTAAACCTTCTTTAATTTTTATCTGACGTATAGACAATTCTTAACTGACTTACACAAAAGGAGATGATGAGAAAAGATTTAAAATTCCCAAAAAATAAGAAAACTTTAAAAAGTTGAATCATTGAAAGTTTTGGCTTTAATCCATAACAGCATCCGGATATTCAGGATATCTACGGATGTCCTAGGGATGGCCGGAAAGTAGGATATCCATATGATGTATCAGGGATATCCATAGATATCTGGAGGACATCCTAGAGATATTCAAATTTCCAGATACGGATAGGACGTCCATATAGGATACTCTGAAATATCCGTTGCTGTTAAGGATGTTATTCGATGAAGGATGAGGAGATTGCACCGACAAGCAGCAAGAATATGTCATATTAGAAAGGGCAAAATATTTGGCATTAGTAGTGAGGCAATATGTTGATTCCGAGCAATCTATATTGATAATGTGTCTATCTCTATAGAGGTATAGAATACCATCATTGCGATAATCATAATTTAATTATATGTATGCATATATAATATATAAAATGCTCGTCATATCCCTAAAAATTTTTTGCAAGAATAATTATCTCTTATAGTGTTAACAGAATATCACATTAAATCGTTGAGATTAATTCGAGAGAAAACAGTCTACCCGTGAATAAGAATTTGAAATGCAACATTCTCTTCTAAAGGTCACGTATTACGATAACGCTATAGACTGTGTATAATATATGATACCCCAACAGCAGCCGGATATTAAGGATATCCTAAGGACGTACTAGTTGCAGCCAAGGTCTCTTAGAAATTAGGATATCTATAGGATGTTACATGGGTGTATATGGCTATATCCTACGAATATCCTAATTTCCGGTAGGCACTGACTCTCTAATACATTCGTAAGATATCCTAAAATATCCGTTGCTATGAGGGTGTGTACTTTTTAAAAAATCGTTTTTTATTGTTTTGATATTAATTTTTTAATTTATCAAATTCATAATTATGTGTAATGTGTTTTTTATTTTATCAATATTATTATATGTGTATTCTGGCTCAAAGTTAACTTGAAGGTAACAAATTGAAACCAAAATGTGTATCAAATTTTTGAGTTGAAAATGTTTTAACCGATTAATGGAATCAATATTTAATACCTACTGCAAGTTAACAGTGGCTTATAAGTGTATGTTTCAGTAACTAATAATAGAAATATACATGTAATTTTGCTATCACTGCACAATATCTTATGTTTTAAATATAATTTAAGTTAATGTAAATTATATTGTTACCTTTTTTATATTGTCTGATATATATAGTTTTATTGTGAACCTACTTGTCCTTCCATGAACATTTACATTTATAATTACAGGCGTACATGTGTAAAAAACAATAATTACTTTTCTTTCCTTAAAAAATGAATTATATTCTCAGAAATAAGGCAGCTATTAAATTCAACACTACTCTAAATACTGAACGTTCACCAGTAAAATCTGTTGGTCAGCTGGAAACTCTCCTTTCCGGGTATATAGAGTGGGAACAGTGTTATATAAGTTTAGATATATAAATAAATATATTCACTTTTATGTATATAAATTAACCAATTACATGTTTTTAAAAAATCATATATATTTAATTTTTAAATTAAAAGAAATATGCTTATTTTGAAATGAAAAAAAAATTTCAACATCTCATTTTGAGAAAATAAAAATTTTATATTTTAGGCATAAATTCAAATTCAATTTCTCATTATTATCAGTGTATAATTTCTTTTTAATTTATATGTTAAATGTTCGTGAAATGTATGTATAACATGGCAAGGTTTCAAAATACTGTAAAAATTATTTTTATTAATTACAAATTTTTTAAATTACTTCGCTTTTCCCTATAATTTCTATAGATTTCCCTTAAAATTGCGGCCACCCTGCTATATTCCTTATATGAAAATTTACATATATATATATATATATATATATATTTATGTCTTTTATTTTAACTTTCTTCTATTTATTCTTTACGAGATAGATATTAACATTGTGTTATAAACTATAACTATATTTAATATCATATTTCCTGACTAAAAATCTCTTCACCTAGTAAAATATAATAATATTAATATTTCTCTGTAAACCATATTATTGAATAGGTATAATTATTTGACTGAGTCACTGCAGATTTCGGCGAAATATTCATCGATTTACCAGAGCGACGGCTTTCTATTCGTTCTAAGGGACAGTCCGGTGTGTCAGTGGTTGTGAGGCGTTGCTGCGCGCGGCGAAGATACCATTGTATTCGATAGAAAAAGATATTAAAAAGCTGCAAGGAATTATAGTCTCGTTACTATTTAGGAAATTCATTTCATTATAATCTTATTATTACTATAACATAATCATTTGTTTTTTAATTGTCACCTGAATTAAATATTTGTTCTCAAAAACTAATTCTACTTTTACGTAATTTATTCATTTCTTAAATTGTGATTACTATTCTATTTGTAGAATTAAAAAATAAATTGATTCTTAATGCATTTGTTTTTAAAGTAGTGTTGTTAATAGTGGACTGTGTCAGTATAAAATATATATGTATATAGATGAGTAAAAAAAAGTGCAGAAGAAAGTGAAAATAATAATTCATATTAAAAAAATGTGTTAAATCAATTTCTACAACAAATTGAATAAAAACGATTTAAATGGGTGAGGTATTTCTATAGTTTATTTTTAAAAGTTTATTAATTAGAGTCTATTTAAATTTAAATTCTAATTTCAAGAATTTTTAAATAAATGTATATGTTATTATAGGTTATAGGAAGAAGGAAGAGCATAACATACACATTGAATGTTATTTTTACTTATTTTCATCATAAAAACATCATTTTGGTTAGCTTAACAATTATAGCTTTAAATAATGATGAATGAGATATCTAATATTTATGATAGAAATTAATAGATCAATTGACTATAAAATTACAAATTATATATACATATATATTATTGAAAAATGATTATTATTGATTATTAAAATTTTATTGCATCATGGACCGCGTCTGTTAAAAACTCCTTGTTGGTTGTATTTCTAACCTTTCCTGGATCATGAGCCATATTCTACTTCCTAGAAATCGCATCTTGCAATACGATTATAGTCCATGTCAGCACTGTCATTGTGATAATATTTTTAATACTAAAGGAGTAAATAAATACTTATTTTTTAAGATAGTATCTTGTAAGCATTTAAAAGACTTTGTAAATCAAGTACCCCGTCAACAAAGACATCAAAATTTCTATGAAAGTTTTTTACTTCTCGCAGCAGCAGTTTACATATTTCTTGTTATATTCATTTCTGAAGGTAAAGTATACATTAATATTGAATGAATGAAGAAATTAATTTTTCTACTTTTTTATAAGGAGTGATTAATTATGCATGTCGAGTCGATAACAGCCCTAATCAACCCATAAGTTTGCTATATACTTGCATCAAGCTTGCATTACAAGTTTGCTCTAAGTATGCTGTAAGCTTATGCGCTGATTGGGAAGACTCGTTAGTCGTTCTGTATATTATAATTGTCACACTTGAAATTGGAAATTTACTATAGATTAAATGAAATAGATTGTTTCAATATTCATTTAGAACGATCAAGAAAGTTATATGCATGAGTTAACAAAAAAATGCGTTATGTTAAAAACAACACTTGCCTGCTTCAATAGGTTAAATGTACGTCATAATTAAGCATTTGGAGATTACATCTCTAACTAACTCTTTTAAGAGTTAGTCAAAGTTTTCGTTCTCGCAATGCATATAATTATTGTGCATTGTATACAACATTCAGATATATGTAATTATATATATTTATATATACTTGACAATTCATGTCTGTCCTGATATAATATCCACTTTTATCGTTTTCTTATTGCTATATTCTATTAGTCAAAATTTGTGGAATGTAGAGTTTTGAATTAAAACTGTTGCTTTTTCAGCATCTGGAACTATACAAGAAAGTGAAGGAAATTCAAAAAAAACAGCGTTTAATGATTCAACGGAACTTCATGATCTCAAGTCGACGTTTCAAGGTGATCTTAGTAGCATCATAGATTTACTTGAAGCATTACAATTACATAATAGAACTCTACAAGGCGTCACACAAGTTCCCGGTCTTATGCGGTTAAAACCTGCATATTACTTTGAGGGTAAATTTACTAAAACCATTATTACGTTTCTAGAAAAATTTTATAGAACATACCTATATAGTTGTTTAAATTTCTTACATAAAGAAATTAATCATTTATTAATTTGTATAATATATATATCTTTTGCACTCTATGTTAGAAAACTTTACCTGCATATCTTTTTTTCTTTATGCTAATAGATATTTTTTTATGTGTTTGTAGGGAAAATAGTGGTGAACTAGAAATATTTTTAAAGCAACTTCAGAAATTAAAAAAAAATTAATTTTTTAGAAAATTCTCAATTTATATGGTTTTTTTGAGTCCTTTAACGCGACTCAGCTTTGAGGACTATTCTGAATCTTTCTAGGACGCGCAACGTGCCCCAGAAGAGTCCACAGCACACTGTAAAAGGCTCACAGTAGTCCTCAAAGCTGAGACACTCTTCAAGACTCGAAAAAGGAACGCAGTGCGCTCTCTTTTTTATTCCGTTCAAAAGAGTTATATTTGCCGCTCTGAGTTGAATAGAATTTTCCTATTTAAAGACAACCCGGAACCTGTTTATATAGAATATTTAATCGCTTATTTCCTGATCATTCTCTACACCAAACATACAGAACAAATTTTTATTTCAACACTCTCGTAATTATGAATACATCTGAATTAAAATAATAAATTATATATATTTATACAAGTTAAAAATAAGTCGTTTAAGCAATAATTTTTTCTATAATTAAAAAAAGAAATATATATGTGACGCTCCACGAGAAAAGGGACCTATCGCGACAAAAAATTAATTTCCAGTTTTATATGCGAATCGATAGTATTTGAGTTGCTCTTTCATATAGAAATGTCAAAAATAATGTTTTTCTAATTACTTTTTTTGTAATAAAGCTTTAAACATGACCCTGTCAATCGCGTTCCAGCACGGACTACGGAAACCATCCCCACCACCACTACACTAGTATACTTGTTGTATCCGTGAGACGTAGGAACGATGTAGTAGTAAGGTAGTGGGGCTGATTTTCGCTGGCGCGTCTCAGCCAATCAGAACGTTCGACTTTAAACGCCTTTCCTGTATAATTCTGTTTTGTCGCGATAGGTCCCTTTTCTCGTGGAGCGTCACATATAATTATATAAATATATATTATAGGTGAAGATAGGGAGCTTCGAATGAGTGAAAAATATTTCCAACAAGCAACTTCATTGCTTCGACAGTGCACTGAATTTACAATGGTTGCTATTTTACGACAAGAAGAAGCAAATTCGGGAACAATTGTAGCCTTTTCGTATGGTAACAACAGGTATTTTAAAGTTAGATTTTAAAAATAAATATTAAATAAATTTTGAATATTTTCACTCGGCTCAGCTGTTAAGCACCTTGATATCTGAAGTTAGAAGTTTGACGTTGACGTACCTACAACGTTATGCGATAGGCTATATGAACAAATATAAATAAATTAATATTAATTACAACGAAATAATTAATCATCTATTTGTAATAAACTTTTTAAGGTACTTAGAACTGCAGAGTAGTGGTCGCAAAGATGAGTTACGTCTTCACTACGTATCACGTCAAGACGGCACCATTCATGTTGAAAGATTTCCATACCGACTAGCTGATGGTGCATGGCATAAAGTTGCGCTGATTATCAGTGGTTCACAAGTTGAGTTATTAGTTGATTGTCATCCTCTTTACAGGCGTCTTCTAAGACCAGGAGCACCTGACACAAATTTTACGAAACCTTTCCTTCAACTTTGGGTAGGCCAAAGAAGCACGAATCATTTTCTGTTCAAGGTAATATAGGTAGTTCTCGCTCTTAGATACATCCCTGAAAAAATCTTTTAGGAACACGAAATAAAAATGCATATATGAGAACAAAAGATCTCAATGATTTAATTGTCTATTCCCCGTCACAGAATCATTATACTATAAAGTATAATAGAAAGCTTTTTTTTCATTTTCCTTAGACGAATGAAGAAATAAAAGCGTCAACTTGGATTTACCTAAATAAAGAAATTCTAATGTTATTTTTCTTGAGTAGATTAAAGAAAGGAGAGCATTAATTTTTTTGCGTTACATGTCTTGTTTAAGTTAATTTTGGTAAAAGAAATAAGAAATGTCTTAAAATTTTGTTAACCTTACAAAATAATAACAAAAATAGTAATAATAATAATTAAATGTTATAATTATGTCTATTGTAGGGGGCCCTCCAAGATGTAAAGTTAATAGCAGGACCTCATGGTTATCTGTACCAATGTCCTCAGCTCGATTCATCTTGTCCAGTTTGTGGTCATTTTTTACTATTACATAAAACAGTTGAGAGAGTATTATATGACTTAAACGAGCTAACTCTCAGGGTAAGTCTGAAATCATTAAATCCAAGTATACTTAAAGATTTATAAGTTATGCACACTCTGTTTAAGTAAAGAAATTGAATATATAATTTATTTCAGTTAGCGACCGCAGAAAATATAATAAGGAAATTAGAAGATTGTGAATGTGAAAAATCTTGTAGAGTCAATGGCACTATTCATGATGATGGAGCAACATGGGAAAAAGACTGTCATCAGTGTTCTTGTGTACATGGTGAAATAAAATGTAAATTAACACCTTGTGCTCCAGTAGCATGCAAAAATCCGATTGTGCCTATTGGACACTGTTGTCCAGTTTGTTTAAGTAAGTAATATTTTTTTATTTTTTAAATTAATAATCTTAAAGTTAATTAGTAGCTGAACTTGTACCGGGTTCTATTCAAGAAAATGTACAATTTCGACACCAGAATTTGGAACAAGTTCTTTTAGCAGAACTTGTACAAGATCTTGCACAAGTTCTTATACTGAAAAATATAATCGTACAAGACGCAGTGTACATGTTCTTGTGCAAGTTCATGAATATTTTCATGTACCAAATTAAAACAAATGCAATGTGATCAAATTTGCTTATTTGGAACATACAAGTTAAAAGGAAAAAAGAATTATAACTATACAATGTAGATTGTTGTGAGAAAGAAAGAAACAACACTCTCTAAATCTGAATTGAGCGTCCCAATTATATAACTCTTACTATGAAATTTCGCTTGCTTGTGGAACCACTTTGATGAGTCGTTCACTATACTGTCTACAGAATGAGGATCCTAAATTAGCAAATTTTAACTGATTTACTGCGATAAGTGTACCACTAATTCCAATTTGCGTATATGCGCTAATAAATTAGTAAAATTTTACTCATTTGAAGCAATACTAATTGGAATTATTGTTATTTTTATATCTCGTTATCGCTATTTCAGTTTTAGAGAGTAATAAAGAATCATATTATAATAAAGGTGAGTTCAGAGTGCGGAAGTCAATTTTCAAGTAGTATCAGCACATAAGCATGTGGCTAAGTTTGTGCCAAGTAACAAAATGTCAAATTTAATTCTGTTTTTTGAGACACGACTTATTTTTGAATAAATATTGAGGAATATAACTGGGAAGTAATAGAAAATGTACTACGTAAGCGTATGTCCCATAGAATTCGACAACGCATAATTTAAAAATTTTGCAAACCTATTTATAATACATAACAAATCTATTCACACCAGCTTGCAATCAAATGTTGACTTTCGCATTCTGCATTTATCATAAAAATAAAAATGTAATTTATTCATAATTTAAATGAAAAAATATACATTTATAATATATCACAGTGAAATTACCTCATAGTCAAGATCTCACTGCAATACGGTAAGACTTATAAGTTTATATGAATAAGATGTGTCGTATATATAAAAGTTTGTTGCTTTCTTTATTAAAAATTATTTGGTCACGCTTTCTGGTTGCCATATAAAAATATCTCAATATTATTTAAATAATTTTTTACTTACAGAAATGTTAAAAATAATTGGTTACTAAAAATTAAAGTAATTTACTGGTTAATGGTCCGATAAAATATCATTGTACACAATAATAAAAACCCTGACGTAAAAAGGAGTGATTATTATCAATTGATAAAAAAACATCAAAATTAATTTATTATTTTTCTGTACTTTTTTCATACTACTTGCATATAATTTTGTAAAAAAAAATATTCTTATTGAGATTCTAAAATTAATTTTTTATAGTAGTAACTCAAACATTTGCTCAGAGAAAAATGGTTGTATAAGGTATACAATATATTGGACTACTCTAGAGCTCGATCCAATAAAATAATGGGATAAGTTATTCATTTCTTGGATAGAACAACTAACCAGTCAGATATTTTATCCATCACAAAGTTACAACATCTGACAGGTTAATTGTGCTATCCAAAAAATTAATTACTTATCCCATTTATGAAATATTTTTTATAGCGATTTTAAGTACCAACATGTAACCTAAAACTACAGGACAAATTTTTGTGAATTTGGTCCTGAAAGGAATAACTAACTATAATGTATTGAAATTTATTATATAAAAAATCTGAAAGCAATGATGCTAGCGAGTTCCTGCTTCATCAACTGCACAAGCATTTGCAAAATTACTTATTGTCTATAGTAAACATTGGTACAGGTTTGTCATTTATTGACATGAATATATTCTCTTATTGAGCGTTTTTTCAGTGTTTTATTCTTCTGGTTTCTCAGTGGTTATTGAAAAGTGTCAAAGATTTTCAGTTTTATAGTTTGTATGAATCAGAAAAATATTTTTTAATATTTTGTATAGGAATATTATACAAGAGAACCATGTCACATCGTATGTACATGCAAAATAAAATTGGCTATGACTTTTGCATTTTCCAGAATTGTGTTATATAACTCTCGCATCGCAAAGTTTTTTGTGCCACTTCTAGTATATCCTCGAAATTTTTGGGATAACAAAATACTTTGTTGAAAAAGTGTTTTCTACTCGTTACTTCTTATTGTTTAGATGTTTAGATCATGTGTACCAAAATTTTCATTCTTAATAAGATTAAATGAAACAGTGTATAACGATGAACTAAGTTGTTGTCAAATCTGATATTGCTCTTTAAATTTGAATTGGCGAAATTTTACTGATTCATAGCAATAAGTATACCACTAATTCCAATTAGCGTATATGCGGTAATAAATTTGTGAAATTCCACTAATATAGCTGTATAAATACACTAATTAGAAATAGTGTTTACTTATCCTTATTTCAATTTTCGAGAGTGACTGTTTTAAAAGATTTTATAATTATTAACTATATTTCAATATTTTTGATGAAATAGTTTTATATTTATCGCAGGATGAACTTAAAGTCCATATTATTTTTTGGTTATATATTATGGTGTCAAATGTATCTAATATTTTCAACTAGTATTATGTATACTTAATAAAAAGTTAGGCGTTCTTAAATTTTTTTATTATGAATTGATTTGTAGAGATAAAGATTATTTCTATTGTACGTTCTATTTGAAATACTAGATGATAATATTCCATTGAAAACTTTGATAATCGTGTTAGATATATTCTGCTTGAATAATTCAGAGGTGTTTATTATAGTTTTCTTGTTGTGTTTTCATAGCAGTATTACAATTTCATCTTACAATCAATTATTTTGTCTAATCAATAAAATTTCGAACATTAACTTCAATCACGAGACATTGAAAGTTTCGTAGAAATTTGATAGTTTTATTCATTTAACATTCATCCAAACGTGTGTACTCTAACCCTCATGGATGATATAAATTCCCCATTAGGCTTTAAATCAAATAAATTTTTAAAATAAATTTATAACCTTTGTAAAGTTTAAATAATCGTGCGAGTTGCTAGAATTGTGTCACAACCATCGAATTTTATCCTACTTTCGTTAATCAGACCTTTACTTGTTTCAGTTGACAGTTTCCTGTCTGAAGGGATAAATAGTACGAGATTATCGTCCTGCATGAAGAATTTGTCGTTTGATATTTGTATACAAGAGAATTCCATATTGGAAGAAAATAATTCGTCCTGGGTGGTGTTTGTTATTATATGTTGCTGTTCGTCTAAAGATCATGGTTCATCGGATTAACAAGCCTCATTATTTAATGGAAAACAAGGGTGAGTTGCAATATTTCCCATTTAGAAACATCAACTTATTATTTTAGCAGACGTTCTGTACTCTAACCATTAAATTCTATAAATGCGTTTATCTTAAACCCCGAATTCAAACAAGAGTGTTTTATTTCTTACAACATCTTAGTCGTTTTAAATCGTTTGCGGCTTTTGTTATTTGGGAGATTTTGCATCCTGTTACAAATAACCTCAGTTTATTAATAACTGTTGATTCATCTTACCAAATCCAATTGGTTTATTAGTGCAGTGGATTTTTCGAATAAAAAAACCTCATAAAAACTTGAAATTAGCAATATTCTTCATTTGTAATTGCAATTCATCATTTTTGTTATTCTTCTCTTCTTGTTGAACATTTCAAACATGTTTCTATTGTTAGGTTGGATAAATGTACAGTCATGTAGGACGATTCTCAAACAAAAAAGTGATTTTTTCTTTTTTTGCTTAACTGAAAATCAAGAATTTTTAACTATTTATAATCATGTTTGGATCAATTGGATGAATTTGATACATTCAAGTTAACTGTGAGAATATTTTTTGTCAAAATACATCGCGGCTACTCTTGCCCTATCGTAACTAAGCTAGCGTATATTTGCTGCTCCACCCTCCTCCTTAGAGGCATTACCTATTTTTTTAACGGCATCTATTCTAGTGGAGTAGAGTTCAATATTGAAAATAAAATGAAATTGAAATTAAATCTTGTTATACAAAGTAAAGAGACCTAAATTTTATATAAATTTTATTTTACGCTATTATCTTAAAGAATTTCTAAGCCATAGTCGTTAAATATAGGTGTTATATTAGCAGACTATATTTTCTAATACGCTTCCTCTCTAACATTTTCAATAAACTACAATTGAGTTTTCGGATCAAAGAACCTGTTATAACGAAATCGGGAGTTAAAGAATTATAACCGGTTCTTTGATCGGTACCCTCAATTGATGGCGCCCATGCAAGAGTACGGCTGACCCAACCACGCAATATCTATACTTGCGTCGCTAGACTAGATCTGGCCAATAGGTTCCTACTTCCTTCCATGCAATTCGAAGTAGAAATTGCGGTTGGGACAGACAGTCCGAACTCAAATTTTACATGCCATCCTCCGAGCAAATCGAAGTAGATATTGCGTGGTTGGTTTTATCTATAGTACGAGCGCTTAATGCAGTCTTACAAGAACACCCCCAATCTCTTTTATAGTTTATTTTTATAAAAGCAAATTAAAATTGCTTTTCATGCTGACTAATTGTTGATAATCGCCTTTTTTACGATCGTAATAACTATATAAGATTTGCAAAGCGCACGTTAAATAGAAAATAACCTCTAAGACTACCATTTTTAATTAAAAATAAATTCAATTACAGATTATAAGAAAAATATAGCGTCTCTAATTGAACCTCCCAATTTTGTAACTCGTTTAGCACTCGGCCGGACGCTCTATTGGTAGTCGGGTAGCAGCGAGGGAGCCATTGACGCTCGCTGCTACCCGACTACTAATAGAGCGTCCGTCCGAGCGCTAAACAAATTACAGAATTGGAAGGTTCAATTATAATAATATTGCCAGGCAAATCAGAAAGTGTCTCCTTATACTGTGTCCTATATTACTTTCACGACAAAAGAATCAAACGCGAATTACTTTTTCATTGTAATTATTAATTGTCTGTATTTTTTACATTTATTAATTTAAATATTGCTTTTTAGAACAATGTTATTTGCATGGCGTAATATATGATCATGGTGAAAAAGTATCACCAAAACAGTGTGTTGAATGTGATTGCTACGATGGTAGCTTCACTTGCCAAAGATTCAATACTGAAACGAAATGTCCATCATTATCATGCCCATTGAACGAACAAATCAGTGTAGCTGAAGAATGTTGTAAATTCTGTTCAGGTATTGTAAAATAAAAATTATATACTAAAATAGGATTATATACGTAATTAATACACTCAAATAGAATGTAATCCTCTCAGTGCAAGAACTTTTTCTGTATATACAATACTTATTACAATCATCTAATTTAATTAAAAAGAACTATAAGTATAATTTGAGAATCAGAAGAAAAATATTATCTTTGTGAAACATATACATAACGAAAGTGATATTAATTTAATTTCCCATGAAATTGTGCGTTCTAAAATTTTGTGCATTATTTATTAAGTACAATTAAAAATATTATTAATTATTTCAGGTGCCTAAAATGGAATTTTCATTTACTAACAGTGGATAATTTTGAAGTGTATAGAAAATACTGCTAGGCAAAAGAAAGTTAATGAAAAACCAAACAAAATGAAAAGCAATAGACAATAACGTAAAAAAATCAAAAATTGAAATATTGTTGCAAAAGAAAAGGAGGGAAAATTTAATATACATACACATAAATATAACTTGATTTTCTTTTTTAAAATTAAAGAACTAGTCTAATGAAAAAAGCAGGAAATTTAATCGAGCACAACGAACACGAATGATTTCAAGGAACTTTAATTTGGACATTTTTCTGAAATATATAATTTTTTTGAAGAAGATCCTTTATTTTCTTATTGTTCAAGCATCCTAAAAATCTAAAATCAAGACTTGAATTTCTCGAAAACCCCAACTTTTTCTTACATTACGTTTAAAAAAAAATTTCTTCAAGTAATAAAACGAATCATTTTAATGAATAAAAAAAGTAAACAATGGAAAAAAGATGGTCTTGCTCCAATCATCTTCGCGTTCGTTTAGAAATTGCTATCTATCTGACCCACAGTGGGCCGCAAAAAAAGCTTATTTTGACAAAATTGATCATTCTCAATAAATCAAAAATCTGCAACTATTATTTATATACTATTCTTGGGACAGCTGATTATGCATCTGGAATCAGATTTCAAAACTTAAAAATGGCGGACCCAATATGTCGGACACAAAAATTTAAAAATTAATGGATTTACATAAAACTTAATATCCAATGGTTTTTGATGTAGCACTAGGGAGCAACGGGGTGTAAGCACCTTGACAACGCTATAATCAACAACTCCAATCATCTTCGCCATATTTTTTCTCTAATTTACTTTTGAAAATACGTATATTTATCAAATTTTATCCTTCTAGGTCAAATGATGTGACCGCTAAAGGGGGATGGGAGTTTTACACGTATTTGTCGAAAATTTTGAGTTTTTTCTTAACTACGCTATGGCCGTCATCACGTTTACTAAATTGTTCCTGGTAATCTACTCGCAAAAATACATATGTGTACTAAATCATGAAATAATTTATGAGTAAATGAAGAAATTTTTATTGCAAATAATTTTTTTTCTATTTGAAAGCAAAAATTAGTGAGAATTAATTCAAATTAGTAAAAATTTTCACTAATTTTTAGTAAAATATTATACTATTTGATTTAGTAATATTTTTTTACTAAAGTAAAAATTTTTAAAAATGACTTAAAATTAGCAGAAATTTTTACTAATTTAAATTGGGGAACACACATTTCCTATTCTCGCATACTGCTCGTAATGCACACAATTCATTATATACTTTGTGATGCATTTTCCTTATACACACTGTAAAAAAATTGGGGAGTTAATGGCAACCAGAGTTAAGAGTAAAATTTTTTGAGTAAAAAATCAACTTCAAAAGTGAGTTAAAATTAGATCAACTCCAAAAGGGTGGGACTTTTTTAGAGTCCGTTTGGGAGTTAAAATCTAACTCCCTTTTTTTACAGTGTATCAAAAATATATATATATATGAAAAAACGATTACATGTAGCCTAACCGACAAAACAGCATTATTTACTTGGTTTACACCACAAAATTAAGTAATACGTATGATACTTATCTAAGTAAGTATAGAAGTGGAACGTTAACGCCAGAGTGAGGTGAGTTAAAGTGAACGCGAACGACTGAGATTTAATTCTCACTCAATCTTATTTACTTCACTCTGACGCTTACGCCAAGGTTTATGTAAACGTTTATTTATTAAATATTGCCTTTTGACATTATAAGTTGTTATCAGTTCACTGTCGGTAATGAATTAATTACCTTGTTGTCACATAATTACAAACAAAATCCAGATCCAGTTCCAATAGTGAATTATATTTTATTTATTTACTAATTAGTTTTAAAGTTGTCTCTAGAATTAATATTGTTCTTAATATTTCGGAACTGTCTTGGACATTTTTCCGTATTCGATTTGTTAATTATTTTTGTTTTCATAATTAAAATTAAATAATTATTATTAAAAAACACGAAAAAGCGACTAACTTATAGAATAAATTTTAAATAACTGTCGGAAAATGCGACGTTTGGATTTCTTATAAACAATGTAATATGTTTAGTATACTAATAAAAACAAAAGAAACTGATGATGCTAACAAAATAACAAAATTTATTCATACATAATTGCTTTATTGTAGTATTTTTTAATACTACACAAAAATATTTCAATACTTTTTAATTCAACTTTAGAAGTGATACTTTCAGAAAAATGAAATACACGACAAAATAATATAAAAGTTTATTGCACATATCTTAATGGAAGAAGTCTTCTAAGATCTGTACTAAGATAGCTTTTTGTATCTTTAAGGTCATTTATTGTTTTTTGTGCCTGAATTTTTGAATTATCTCTGGTAAGTTCACCACGTTCAAGAGATTTTTCCAAAATTTTCTTCAGCTGAAATCCAATACCAGCTTTAATAGAACTTGATAAAGTTTTAATTACTTCATCTGAGAATCCTGTGTAAATGACAAATCCTTGTCCTCTAGCATCTTTATTCAATGCATCGTAGAGAGACGCCAACTGCTGTAAAGATGCACTTCTTTTTCCAGAGAGGTCAATTCTGTAATAGATATATTTTATGATCGAATGTTTAACAAATTAAAATTGATTATTTAGAACGTACGCTATATATTCTAACAGCATCCGGATATTAAGGATATCCTATACAGACTTCCTAGGGATATCCGGACCAGGTTCTTCTATAACCGCTCCAGGGATGGAGCGTTTATAATAAATGTCTATAGTTATCCTACACTACAGACATCCGATGGATATCCATAGAACGTCCGTAAGATATCCTGAAGTATCCATTTCTGTGAAGATATATACTTTTAATTATTTAGGTATAATTTTTCGTGGTATACAATAAATAAGTATGGCATATGTATATTACCTTATTTCATCACTTTTATGTTCATCAAGATTTTCAAATTCATCAGTAAATTCAGTTACACGCTCTTTTGAAGGTTTAACTATTCCATAGATTTCTTTATTTTTATTGCTTTTAGATTCCATTAGTTCATTTATATTAATAGTCTTGTTATTATTTAATTTATCTAATAATGAAGATGTATTTTCTTTATAATTCGGTGTTATTTTAATCATATCATTTTTCATTTGTTTATGAGAAGATACATTATAGGAAGAAGTCGTCAACTCCATATCATTCCCAATTTTACTGACAATTTGCCATGTTGTCAATCCGGGAGGATGAGGACTCGATGAAATTAAGATATTAGTATTGTACTCACTGCCATCCAAATGTAATTGTTTTAACTGCTCAACGGCATGCAATAGTACCTTAAAAAATTATTTATCATTAATAATTAATAATTTTATTTTTTATTTTTATTATTGTGCAATATTGGTTTTTTACTATTTCTTTTCATTTTCAAATTGCACTAATATTTCCTGAATATCTCATTTTAATTTCACGAAATCTCAATACAATTTTCAGTTATTATTTATATACGTATACCTGCATTGTCGCTGGCAAATATGAATCTGAAAGATTTGGCGTAGCGAATGCCGGAATGTTATTTATCCTGGCTACTGTCAGCTGAAAAATCGTTTTTCTTATTTTAAAAAATAATTGTTAATAATAAATAGTGTGAAAATAGAACAAACTATTGTCATTTTAAAAGTATAATTTACTATGCGATAAATTTTTTTATGTTTTATACACGAATTTTGTTAATTATTTTAAATATGTATAAATACTAGACAATAAACATTTTACACAATAGAAAATAATTATCTTACATACCTTTTTTATTATAAAAATTGTAAAGAAAATGAGTATTTTCATATTAAACTTTATATAACGAACAGGAATATGTGACAATATAAATGATGAAAAAATGGAATTCGTTCTAACAATTTAAAAACCAATTTTTTCTTTCTTAATTTATAATTGCAAAGAATATCAAAAATGTATTACTGGGTATTGTATTATTGAACTTGAATTTATTCTTGTAGTCCAAACTTTCTTGAACGGCAAGTAAGTCAAGACTGAACTTGAAAGGATTATAACGGTTCTTTTAAAATACATTCTAAAACAAAATGTACAGTGTACACTATATTTTCGTAAAGTTACTCAGTAAATTTAAATCTGTAAATTTTGTATTTCCTGCAATCTTAAAGAATAAATTATATTTTTAAGGAAATTAAATTTTCTTTTACTATTCCATTAAACAAATAATAAATTAGAAATTAAGATTTAAAAATTCATTTTTTGATTTGGCAAAAGCAGACCAATTAGTGTTGAGAATACCAACTAATGCGAGCACTAAACTTTGAAAATGATAGGTGAAAAGTAACGTTACTTTATACATATAACGCATTTTAAATGACGTTAATTAATGAAATATAAAACAATAAAAACCTTTTTAAGAGTACTTAATTTGTCTTTATTTTTTTATAAGTGAAATGTAATGTTATTATGAAGAAAATTAATCTTTAATTTGTTAAAATAATAAATTAATACTCTGAAACGAATTCATACTGTATTAGTTATTTTCAAATTCCACCGCTCTGTCGAGCGAACTATGTCTTTGGTGCGAACTAAAAAATAATCACTAATTAACCCATGCAAATGCGAATGTAATATGTGTGATTCGTTATTGTGGCATCGGATATAATTTTTATTTGCGAAGAAAACTTAATATTATCATATGATAGTCCTAATAAATTGATACTAAAAATGAACAGTAACTTTATACGTTTTGAATATGACTACATTTTTCATGTCATGTGATAATAATTTTACCACTGATTTTAAAGATATTTTTTGGGCTATATTTTATTTTTTACTCAATAGAATTTCAACAGATTACTATACTTCACATCTCTTCTGGTCCAAAAACGAAAAAGATTTTTATACTTTTTATTGATTGTACTTGCTAAGTTAAAAATGTTTATATTCTCTGTTTCGAGATGACAGAAAACAGACATGCGCTCATGCATCTATGCGAGTTCAAGTTCGACGTTTTTTTAGTCACCGCGTAACAGTGCAACATTATTTTATGTGGTGTATCATTTTAGGAAACAAATACTTTCCTTTAATTCGAATTTATATTTTTGAAATTTTCGTTGAAAAAATGTTTACATATAGAAATTAATTTTATTCAATGTCTTCATATAATTATTAAAAGATTATATAAATGTCTTTAAAAAGCTTGCAGTTATTATTATAAATGAATTAAACTTAACCGAAAATGTCCACAAATTGCAATTACCATAATTATCGCTACTGTTCTGCTACAAGAATGCACTTAAATGGAATAAGCGGTGAACAAATTTCTGACAGTGATATGGCAGAATTAAGTGAATTAGAAGATGATGAGGGCAATGGAGATGATATTGATGAGGAACATGATGACGATGAAGATGAAGAAGGGAATGTTCTTCCTTATCCTGGTTTTGCTCCAACAGCTCTTTATTACCTTCGACAAAATACAAGGCCCCGTAATTGGTGTCTTGCGTTAATTACAAATCCATATCCTTTTTACTCTAACATAAAATATTATGCAGTTGGAAAATTTATCTTTTTAAGTATTGTATAATATAGAGGAATGTGGTCCACGTGTATTCATAAACATTGAATCATTTCAATAATATACAAGTATTTGCAGTTAAATGAGTACCAGTTCTTATACATATGTCATATAAGTATATATAAATAATTTAAAAAAAAATATGCATATCAATTAGTAAACTTTTATTGATTATAAAATTTTGCTTTTTCAAATTTGTGTATTATAGGATAATAATAACTTTCAAATTATTAATATAATATCTTAATCTTTATTAATATTTTTTTAATAAATATCTAAGTAGGTACATGAATATTTTTCTTAATTTCATTTCACATGGTTCGAAAGAATAAGCATTATGATAATACTTTTAAATTGCCTCACACTTGGAATGTACCAGCCATGTGTGGATGATCAATGTGAGACAAATCGATGTAAGATTTTACAGGTAACTTCATTAATAATATTTTGAAATTTGTAAATAGTACCTAAACCTAAAATTATTTTATTTTCTAGATTATTAATTACCCCAATCTCCTTTAATATTATTTTTCTTAATTCTAAGTGTTTTTTGTTAACACCATTTGACTATATATTCTAATATTTATTTCAGATGTTCGATGACATCATCTTTGCTTTCTTTTCTTTAGAGATGACAATAAAAATGGTAGCAATGGGTTTATATGGTAAAGGGTCATATCTTGCAGATTCTTGGAATAGGCTTGACTTCTTTATCGTAGCTGCCGGGTGTGTATTGAAGCAACAGCTTAACTGACAGAACAAGTTTGATGTAGTAGGGAATTTTTTTTCTGACACAGCAAACTATGGTCGTTAATATAAGCACAGCGAATAAGTTTGCTGAATAATCGCTACCACAGCAAACTTATTAGTTGTTCTAGCAAATATATTATGATTGCTGCAAATTTTCATTACAAAAACGCACATCAGTAGAGTCTTAACCAAAGTTTGACAAAATATAAATAACTCTAAGCAACACACTGAATAAAAGTTTATTTAAATAAACTGTTACTCGACTGTTATGCCTCGAAAGTGCCTCAAAAAAGTTTTATTCAAATAAAAATTTTTTAGTTCAAGTAAATATTTATTTGATAATAATGAATAAGTAACAGATTATTTGAACCAAATAAAGTTGTTTTCAGTGCACGTATAATTATACAGGGTGTTCCAAAAGTATGGAAACTTGCAAATATCTCGAAAAGTACGCATTTTCGTGATACTTTTTTTTCACTGTTGGATCCCGAGACCAATTTTTTGGCTTCAAAAATGTAGATCTTTTTTTTGTAACAACTTTTGTTATGAATATTTTTCACGAAAATGCGTACTTTTTAAGATATTTGCAAGTTTCCATACTTTTTGAACACCCTATATATATTTTGTGAATAACTTATTATTATTATTACGTCAATATTGCGTTGTTCTTGGGAACAGTTAAAATACATTACATATACATATAAAATCTAAATAAAAGTAATAATTATGGTTTCTGATCATCTATTCTAATTGGAATTTAATTTACTTTTTCAGAGTACTAGAGTATTGTTTAAATGTGGAAAACATGAACTTATCTGCGATTCGTACTATAAGAGTCTTGCGACCACTTCGTGCGATTAATAGAATACCAAGTAAGTTTAGAATTTTACTTAAAGTTTGTCAATTCTTTGATTTTTATTTTATTAATATTAATATTTATTTAAGGTATGAGGATTCTAGTAATGCTCTTATTGGATACACTGCCGATGCTTGGTAATGTTTTATTACTCTGCTTTTTTGTTTTCTTCATCTTTGGTATTGTTGGAGTTCAACTTTGGGAAGGAATATTACGACAACGCTGTTTTCTCAAAGCTATACCGACTGTAAGATACCCAGAGTATGTCAATTATATTAAGATTTATTAATTATAAATTAGCTGTGACAAAAAATTTTTTGCTGGTACTATTTCCATGCATGAACATGTAATAAAAACTGAATATCAAAAGCAGAGTAATTATTGGCATAAACTATATTGATTATTTATAAATTTCTGTTTAATTTTTTTCAGTTGGTTGAGAAAATACTTTGAATATCAGGGTCAAGATTATATTTGCTCTAAACCTGAGGACAATGGAATGCATAGCTGTCACAATTTACCTTCTTTAAAATTTGGTAAGATACACTTAAAAGGGGCGCATTTAAAGAGAATTTCTTTCTAGAAAAGGTCACAAAATTCTATACGAATATTTTGCATTTTCTATGACTGTATTAAAGAAATAAATTTTTTCAGACAATATAGAATGCAACCATACAGCTTTATCGAATAGTAATATAACCTTTATCAATGATAATACTTGTGTCAATTGGAATTATTACTATACTGAATGTAAGGGTCAAGGAAATAATCCTTTTCAAGGCACAATATCATTTGATAACATTGGATTAGCATGGGTTGCTATATTTCTCGTGAGTAAATTATTAATAGAGGTTTTTTTTCTAATTTATTGATTACAAAGATTCACTTTTTATACTTACACTTAATTTTTTTGTTTACAGGTAATTAGTTTAGAGGGATGGACAGATATAATGTACTACGTGCAAGATGCTCATTCTTTTTGGGACTGGATATATTTTGTTCTTCTAATAGTAGTTAGTAAATAATTTTTTTTTAATTATTCTCTTACTGCTATATCGAACTGAATTTCTATGATTTTTAGTTGAATTTTAGCACAAATTTATTTAGAAAGCTCACATCAACACTTTCTCAAAAGTAATAACTATCTGTCACTTTAAGAATTGCATTCGTACTGGCTCTTAATATAAAGTCACTATATGTTCTTTATAGATTGGTTCTTTCTTCATGATCAACTTGTGTTTAGTCGTTATAGCTACACAATTTTCTGAAACTAAAAAGCGAGAAATGGAACGAATGAGATTAGAGAGAGCACGGTTTCAATCTACCAGCACGCTTGCATCATCTACGAATGTATCCGAGCCAACTACATGTTATGCTGAAATAGTAAAGTAAGATATAAACCAGGTTTAATATTTTTAAGGAAACTAAATTTTTAATTTAAACATAATGTTATATCTAAATGACAGATATATTGCACATCTATGGAGAAGAGGAAAGAGAAAATTAATGAAACGATATCGATTGTATTTATACAGCAAACAACAAAAACATGATGAAATTTTGTTGAAGGATAAACTTGAACAATGTCAAACGAATGAAAGTGGAATAAAAAAATTAAATAGTATGTATCATTATCCTATTATCTATAGATAGTTATCTAGATTAATGGTACTCTATCATTAATCTTGATCTTTATAATCACATATAATCTTAATAATTAAAGCTTTTAATTATTTATAATTTTATATTTTCTACTTCTTAATGTTGTTTCCTATTATTTGGAATTATAGCTAGCAATATTTTTTGTGGTGCCACATCAAAACTTATTACGGTTTTGGGAAGTAAAGAACAAAATGGGAAAGCATTCGCGGCTCCTCATGCTAGCCCAGAAGTTTCTGAAATTGAGCACTCTGCGATAATGTACCAACGGACTGGTATTTATCGTTTACATTCATTTTCCAATTGTAGTGAGTCCATCAACAGTACAACTCAGGTATTTTTTCTTATTAAATCAAGTAAATAAGTATATTTTATAAAAAAACTTAACTAAAATTTCAATAACCGAACTCTCAAATCTGTATTAACTTTACTGAAAGAAATTTTTCATCATTATTTATATAATTTTGTCCAATTATATCACATCTTATTTCTATATTATGTATTATTATGTATTCAATAATGTTACAGATAAATAATAGTTTGTTAAGTCCTCCTAGTGCTCATTTTCGAAGGAGAAGTAGTGTAATGTTTAGTGATGTAATTTTACTTCATGGAGGAAGTGTTCATACCTTACCAGGGTCTGTTGCTTTAACAGATAATAATGTTTGTTGTAACGAAAAAATGACACAAACTGGTGATGGACATGTATGGTTAATACCACTTTCTAAAAATTTACAGGTATTTATACTATATTCACACTTGTAGAATAATACTTTATTATAATATATTAATATGAAAATACTAAGTGACTATAGCATGATTTTTATCATATATTATGTTAAAAAATTTATATGATTGTTGTAATTTTCATATATTTAAATGGCAATTAAAGACCGTAATAAAACGAAGAGAAGCCATGTCTTGTCAAGAACTACTTGCACTAAGTGGAGCTTTCAGCGCAGCTTTACCGACTGGACAATTGGCATTAGATTCATTTTTGAATACATTTAAAAATGGTAAGTCTGCATACATAGTAATTACAACTTGACACAATAAAATTACTTTTTAAAATAATCTACATATACTATTTTAGGACATAACGGAAACTTTATATCCTGTCTCTAACATATCATAAATAAAATATATTCTTGTAATTTGAATATTTTCGTATTTATAACGTTAAATCGTATTTCAATCATCACTATTCATATTAATTTAATTTGTTTAGGTATAAAAAAGCGTCAAATTGTTAATGATTCACAATGGTTTAATGATGTAAATAACTGTTCGTGCTGTTATGCTTCACGAGGAGAACAACAATGGTCTAATAGAAATTTGAAGTGTCAAATGTTACCTGCTGGACACATACTTAAAGTCATTGGTAACGGATGTATATACATTTTCCGTTTTTTACGACAATGGATTAAAAGATTTGTCGATAACAAAATATTTCAACAGGGAATTCTTCTAGCAATACTTATCAATACACTTAGTATGGGTATTGAATACCACAATCAAGTAAGGTTAAGAAAAGAAGCACTAACTGAAATTGTTACATTAATTTGGGCATATGTACAACTTAATGTGATTATTTCATAAACAGTTTTCTCTCATAAAAATGAAAAATTTTAAATATAAAACTGTAACTGTATAAAAAGTCTGCGATTTTACACAATTTTGATCTTGAAAAACTCAATAACTTAGTGTACTATTAGAAAGTAAAAGATTCTTAAATAGTTTAATTGATTATTTGCTTTACAACTATAATTTAAAAATGTTCATCATCAAATTTTAACGATAAAAATCAATTATTAAAATTTGATATTGAACTATATTTAAAAATTGTAACACCATCAGGGGACAAAAGTTATGACGCAAATTCGTATAATTTAATAATTATAAATATGCTTTATTACAATATTTCCGTTACTGTATGATAATTTTATTACAGCCTGAAGAATTGACTGTTCTAGTAGAAATAAGTAATATTGCATTTTCTGCAGTATTTGCTGCAGAAATGTTACTAAAAATTATAGCAGAAGGACCATTTGGATATATAAGTAATGGCTTTAATGTGTTTGATGGTATTGTTGTTATACTAAGGTAAATGAAGTAATTACTATTCATTTAATTTTAAAACTTAAGTTTATATATTTAAGTATGCCTTAAATACTTTGAATTAATATTATGTCTGTAGATTTAGCTATAATTTTTTAACAAAATGCATTTATAATTTTCATGTTTTATTTTCGTATTTGACTAAATTAATAAATTATAATAGTAAAACCCACTGTAAATTATTATAGAGTGATAGTCATTGATATAAGAAACTGCAATCCATATAATTTTAATATACATCAATAACCAAAAGACGATTTAATGTAATTCATTTTATAGCGTTGTAGAATTATGTCAAACATTTGGCGAAGAACGAGGTGGTGGCTCAGGGCTAAGTGTTCTTCGGACTTTTCGGCTGTTAAGAATCTTAAAGCTTGTTCGTTTTATGCCTAACTTGCGTCGTCAACTTTTTGTAATGTTACGAACAATGGATAATGTTGCAGTTTTTTTCTCACTATTGGTACTTTTCATTTTTATATTCAGGTAAAATAAAACTAAAATTCTATATTCAAAATTATACTATAAAAATTTTTATTATTCTGACTTACAACTACATTGTGAAAGCTCGTTCACAAGGAACAAAATATTATAGCATTTTAGGTATGTATCTTTTTGGAGGAAAGTTCTGCATGTGGATAGATCGCAGTCGGCCTTGTACTTGTGCTGAAGTGGTAGCACGTCATCCAATGTGCCAATGTGATCGTAAACACTTCAACGACATAGTTTGGGCTCTTGTTACAGTTTTTCAGGTAATGATGATGATGATGATGATGATGATGATGATGATGATGATGATAATAATAATAATAAGTTTACATGCACAGTAAAAAAAAATGTAATTGGACCAATCAAAAAGTGCGCCATACATTTTTTGTTCGCAACTCCTAAATTAAGATTTTGGCGGTATGCCGGAGATTCTTTCTCTTAACGTACACTTGGGAAAACTAACTATAGAGATCTTTGAGTCTAAATTTTGCTTTTTAATTAAGAATTCTGCTTCAGAAAATAATGTTATTACAAAATATTATTTTTTTTTAAAGATTCTCACTCAAGAAGATTGGAATGTAGTTCTTTTCAATGGAATGCAAAAGACTTCTCATTGGGCTGCTCTTTACTTTGTCGCTTTGATGACATTTGGAAACTATGTTTTGTTTAATTTATTAGTAGCCATTCTGGTTGAAGGATTTTCATCTGAGGTAAAATAGCAATATTAAATGGCATACTGTTAGGAGGTTACTCTGTTAATTTTAATTGGTGAAATTAGTAAAAATTAAAGAGTTTGCAGTGAAATATTACATAAAGTTTGTTTCACAATATTGTAAAGAATTTACATTTTACTTCCAAGTTCTTCAGCTGCATCCAACATTTAGTAATTTTAGATACTTTTATCAATAATTTTTCATAGTCATTAGTATATATTTTAAGAGAAATGAAAGACGGGAAAGAGAACAAAGGGAGCTTGCAAGACTTGCTGCACAGGAATGTACATTTGATAGTGATGAAAGATTATCTAGAATATCTGGTTTCCACTCTGTTACGGATAGTGACACTTATACTCAGGTAAAAATTTGTTTCGATTACAAGTCTTATGAATATATAATATATTTGTATATAACATAAAAGTTATTCCATTTTTTAAACATAAGTAATATAAATAGAGTATTGTAAACCTATTATTATAATAGGATAGTAAACAAGATATCAGAAAGTACAGAGAAAATTGTGAGCAGGAAAATTATATCAATATACGGAAACAAATAAACAATGTAAAATATAATAGAAATGGTGGTAGAATTTCGATATCTAGACCATCACCACCCATTATAACTCATACTGCTCCTACACCTCAGGATTCTCCAAATACAACTTTTGATACTTCTTACAAAGACTTAATCTCTCAAGACATTTATAATAAAAAATTATCTTTTTCTTCAATTGACAAATTTATTGTAAGTGCTAAATCCTCATTTGTTGTACAAAATAATAATCATAATCCATATTATGTATCCTATTCTAAAAGTATGAAATTAAAATTTTTAGTGGAGAATAATCCTACTTTTCAATCTTAAAAGTAATATACTTTATACTAATTACAGAATCAAAGCATTAACCAGGTTAATGAAATTGAAAGTAAAACGTGCAATCCTCCTGATTGGACATTAAAACTCAATATGATGACCACTGTTATGAAATCTCCCAAAAAAGATATCGACTCAACTAAGTAAGTAGCTGTGAGACATTTTTTACATATATATATATATATCAATAAAACTTATTCCTGTAATTATCGAAAGAGAAAGTTTATTCCTTATTTCTTGTCATAATTTAAATTTTTGTGTAAGTTGTATATTATGGGTTTTATGTATGAGCAATACATATTCAGATTTATTATATAAACTTATCGTTTGATAGAATTTATCCAGCATCTACAACATCTGCTAAAGGATGTATAATTGATTCTATTGGAAATGACACTTTAATTTGTGTTCCAAATAATCGAGCAGTTCGATTAATATCCAATAATGAAAGCTCAAATTTGCATATCAATGGAAATAAGAACCACTGTTCATCAAAGGCTCAGTGCTTTGCTTCCTCAAAACAGGTAATGTTTTCAAGTATTAACTACTTTTTATATGTATATATGTATGTATTGAATTATTAGATCAATAAGTTGTCTTGAATTAGTTTTATTTTTTGATCATGCATTTTTTTTGCTTCCTTCCCATACTTCCCATTTCTCATAGAAAAAATTCATTGTGTCACGTTTGACAAAGACTCAATGCGTGACATCATTTGTGAACTCTCCCTAAGGATATTTTGTTAATTCTCTATCTTTGTATGATTTTAGTGTCATTGGAGCAATTCTTTATCTATAAAAGATTCACTAAAATCATATGAGGCCATGAAAATAAAAAGAACGTTTACTCATCAAGAACACGGAACAACATGCATTCCAAACGATGTGCCCATAAATGTATCTTCACCAAAAAATCAACATTCATCAACTAATAACAATCAACATAATGCGCAATCAGAAGATCTGTATTATGCAAATAAACAGAAGAATTTTTCGAATGTGAAGAAACTTAAAAAAATGGTCATATCGCTGAAATCTAGATATTGTTTAAAAGGAAGAGATGAGTTTTCTTTATATATTTTTTCGAATGACCACAAGTAATTAATCTGCCTTTATTAATAGTGTTTACTAATTCAATTCGATTTATACACCTTCTGTGTAATAAGTCTCAGAATTAACTTAATGGAGCGGGCACGTTATAAAAAGATCATAATCATTTGTTTGAAATTCTACTACATAATAATTATTTCGAACGGTTCTTACATGGGAATCTTTATACTCTCAGCATTTAATATTGTTCGTAATTGCGAATTTCAAATGTTTTGTCTTGTAAATTTACAGTACTTAACATTTTTTCAGATTTAGAATATTATGTAAATGGCTTGTTGACCAAAAATGGTTTGATAACGTAGTTTTACTTTTTATTGGGTTAAACTGTATAACTCTTGCAATGGAAAGACCAAACATACCACCAGATAGTCGTGAAAGAATTTTTCTTTCTAGCGCTAATTATATATTTACAGCAGTTTTTGCAATGGAAATGTTAATCAAGGTATATACAGTGTGTGACAAAAGTATTGTACAGTAGGATGCATATATGCCTTCCTAGTTAGATCGTGTCGCACTCATATGTTTCCATGGAAATATATGAGTGCGACACGATCCAACTGGGAAGGCATATTTGCATCCTACTGTATATATATATATATATATATAATTTTAGAGAAGAAATATTCTGCAAATAACAAATAATTATATAACTTTTGTAGGTAATTTCAACAGGTATGCTTTACGGACCATATGCTTATTTTACATCTGGTTGGAATATAATGGATGGATCACTTGTTATAATTTCAATAACTGACTTATTAATGTCACTGATATCTGCAAGCAGTCCAAAAATTTTTGCTATTCTAAGAGTAAGTTAATCCGTATATATTTCTATTTTAGGTAGATCCAAAGAATTTGAAAGTTAATTTTATAAAATCTGATTAGATACATTAATATTCACATATACTTGACGTGTGTCACCCTTGATTTTCCGAAAGTTTAAATTTCTGATTAGCAATTGCAATTGGCCAGATCTAGTCCTCTCCATGTAAGTGGAAGTAGATATTGCGTGGTTGGCTCAGCCGCTAAATTTACAATAATTATTAAAGAAAAGATAGGAAAAAACAATAGTTCATTTTGTTTCTAAATTTAGTGGCATTTAATCTTTCTACTCAAAGTATTTTTATCAATATTAAATATAAAGACATATATATTATGATAAATATAAATTGCTTTCAAAGATACCTAATTAAACATCACACATCGCAGGTAGGATAATCTGTTGAAAGTAGAATTGACTTTCTGTAAGAAAGTTGGTTTGTTTTAATATTTGTAGTGAAACTAGTATAAAATTGAGGGACTGTAAAAGTGATTTCAAGGAAAACGCGCTTTTTGAAAATTTAATTTGTCAGTAAATTATTATCATTCATAAATTTGTTACAGGTATTCAGGCTTTTGCGCTCATTAAGGCCGTTAAGAGTTATAAATAGAGCACCAGGTTTAAAACTCGTTGTGCAAACTCTCCTTTCATCCTTAAGGCCGATTGGAAACATTGTACTAATTTGTTGTACATTTTTCGTTATTTTTGGTATTTTAGGAGTTCAATTGTTCAAAGGTGCATTTTATTACTGTGAAGGACCGGATATTAATAATGTACGCAACAAAACTGATTGTTTATCTGACAAAAGAAATACTTGGTTAAACAGAAAGTATAACTTTGATGATCTTGGAAAAGCCTTGATGTCTTTATTTGTACTGTCATCACGAGATGGCTGGGTGAATATTATGTACACAGGTTTAGATGCTGTAGGAGTCGACCAACAGGTATGACATAATTTTAACTCAGATGCTTGCCTATATGTACTTGGTTAATAAGAGAAATTATATACTTCTCTTCTTTATCAGTAAATATATTATTATATTTATTTCAGCCAATTGAAAATTATTCAGAATGGAGATTGCTGTATTTTATTTCATTTATTTTATTGGTTGGATTCTTCGTTCTAAACATGTTTGTAGGAGTGGTCGTTGAAAATTTTCATAGATGTCGCGAAGAACAAGAAAAAGAAGAACGAGTTAGAAGAGCTGCTAAACGTGCTTTACAAATGGAGAAGAAAAGACGAAGTAAATTTTGAGTTAATGTATTATTTAGCAAAATTTATTTTTAAATTAAACGATATTAATGAATTTCTTTCGGGAGGGAAAAAATAAGACTTGAACTTATTTGTTTTTAGTCTAAAATAATAAAAAAAGGTATAACAGGCATCACTATCTGTATTGCATCTTCAAAGCAAACATTCTCCTACTCACTGCAATATTCATTACTTAAGTCTCAATTATGAGACACTTTTTAGCAAACATACAATAACGTTCCATAAATGGGAACATATTAAGAAGTTGTCTCATAATTGGGACTTTTAATTTATATCAAAAGGTCATTCAAAAGCATTCTAAATTCTTTGTATGTATTATTAACATGTTTTTTTTTTCATTTTCAGGATTACACGAGCCTCCTTACTATAACAATTATTCGAAACTACGACTATTCATTCATAACGTAGTAACATCAAAATATTTCGATTTGGCAATTGCTGCTGTGATTGGTTTAAACGTAGTTACCATGGCTTTAGAATTTTACATGATGCCGAAAGCACTAACATATGCTTTAAAAATTTTCAACTATTTTTTTACAGCTGTTTTCATATTGGAATCAATTATGAAGCTTGTAGCTCTTGGATTACATTTATATTTAAAAGACAAGTAAGTATTAAATCTATAGATGGATTAAAGAGCTATAATACATTTAATAACTTAAACTTTCCATATAATTCAATATTCTTTTGGTTATGCCAAAATAAAATAAAATAAAGTTATGCCTTGTTATATCCTTAAGTGCGCAAACTTTCCACATAAACAAAGATAGTTGGATAATTATAATAAATATACTTTTTAAAACTAATGTATTATGTACTTGTGTTAGTATTTTAGACTTTAGTTGAATTTAATTTCAGGTGGAATCAACTTGATGTGGGCATTGTGATATTATCAGTGGTTGGAATTGTGTTAGAAGAAGTTGAATCGAAAGTAATTCCTATTAATCCTACTATTATTAGAGTCATGCGTGTTTTACGTATTGCAAGAGGTAGTATTATATTTTTTGAACGTATTTATTCATTTACATATCTAACTATAAACCTACTACATACTCGGCTTAAATAAAACTTATTTTTATAGTCTTGAAGCTTCTAAAAATGGCAAAAGGTATTCGAGCACTATTGGACACAGTTATGCAAGCTTTGCCTCAAGTTGGTAATTTAGGATTACTCTTTTTCCTACTGTTCTTCATATTTGCAGCTTTAGGTGTTGAACTCTTTGGACGACTGGGTAATAAAAGCAAAATTTCTAAATTAATTTACATTAGGAAAATTAATAATACTTTCGAAATACCTATACATATAAAATAATAGGTAATTGAAACTGACAATTTTTATTATATTGTTATAAATTTTACTCAGAGGTTCGCAAGCTTGCAGCAAATAGCTTTAATATCCTCACTGTTTATTATAATATGTTTAATTTGCAGAATGTAGTGATGAAATGCCATGTCAAGGATTGGGAGAACATGCACATTTTAGCAACTTTGGAATGGCTTTTCTAACTTTATTTCGAGTAGCAACTGGCGACAATTGGAATGGTATTATGAAAGACACTTTACGAGATAATTGTGATGATTTAGAAGATTGTGTGAAAAATTGTTGCGTTAGCAATATTATTGCACCAATATTTTTTGTTATATTTGTACTGATGGCGCAATTTGTTCTTGTAAACGTGGTTGTTGCAGTTTTAATGAAGCATTTAGAAGAAAGCCATAAACAGGTAAGATTTTATTTAAAAAATTTGAGCGAATTCACCGCATAATTGTAGATGCTATATATTATAGCAATACTGCGTTGTACTGAATATATTAAACTTTCCAGTTTATCAAAAAACTGTTATACACAGACTATTTAGATTTTAAATTCAGTGTTACTTGAATATACCATGTACCTACTGTGTCAATAGTAATAAATAATCAATTTTATTACAGATGGAAGACGAGCTTGACATGGAATCACAACTTGAAAGGGAATTACTCGCTGAACAAGAAGAACTCTTAGTCGGTGAAGGTGAAAATATGGAAGAAACTAGAGTTCAAAATATAATAGATGATAATGAAATATTGACATCACAATGGAAAAGTAATAGTTCTCCTGAATCTTCTCATGGCCTCTCTAAAGTTCGATCTCTACCCTCTAATTTTATTTATAACCATGGAGCAATAAAAAATAAAGGTAATAAATAATAGTAATAATAATAATTTAGTATCCCATGTTATTGAATATTATGCGTAAGCATTTAATGTAGTTTATGCAACGCCAATATTGTAGTAGAAATAATTGATTGAGGAGACAACACTTTGTTTAACTGCTAAAAACTTTATTTTCACTTTTTTAACTCAGCTATAAAAGTTTACACTCTCATCAAGTGCAGGGTTACACATACAACCACACACAGTACTTGAATCAAAATTATTTCCTGAATTCCTTCCCTAACCAATAACAAACTAAACTATATTTGTTTCGGTATCAACAATAAGTATAGAAAACAGGTTTCATTCTCAAACTGTCAATATTGCAAATAGGAATAGATTGCCGCTAGCTTACGTGCTATCTGGAAAGTTTTCTTGGAAAAATAACGAAAAGAAATAAATAACTGTATAACTATATACAATATGTTGTTTGTCAGTTTTAGATACTTCTTCACATGTGCCAAGAAGAAGAAGAAGGAAAAGCACGATACTCCAACTTTCTGCAAAATCATCAAAATTAAAATCTAACCATAAATATAGTAATATGCAACAGCAAAACACCTTGCACTTATCACAATTTGATTGTAACAAAGTAGTTTCCAATTCATCAAATTACCTTATTCCACCCACTATTTCATATACAGCCAGAAGTAGAGACACATCAATCGATTATTCAAAATCAGAAAAAGGGAATAAATTAAAAACTTCACCTATTAAAAACTTTTGTGTTAGTGACAAAAAAGATGTACATAGTAATAATGTAAATCATAGACTTAACAATTTTCATGAAGATTATGATGTGCAATCCATAATCAATGAAAGAAGACCACTTAAATTAAAAGTTAATGTTCCAGAAGTTTCAAATTCTAATAGAAATGACAATTTTCTTATTGCAGAAAATAGATGTAATAATATATCAACTGATGCAACTTTAAAAAATTATTCTGTAAGTTTCAGTAATGATTTCAGTACCACTGGCTTATACTAATATCAGTATACACAATTGTTTAACAAATATTTGTTATTGTCAAAAATTGTAGTCAAATGAATTATAAATAAAATTAATAGACTGTTTTTTTTTTTTTTTGCTTCTGAAAGGGAACGTATAATTTTGAGGCGAAAACTATTATTTTTATTAAGTTATTTTTAAACTTATTTTCAACCTGAGGGACATTCCATACACAGAATATTTAATTTTAGTAACAAATACATAGCGCTAAGTGCTTTTTATTTTGAAAAATCACAATTCTTAATAATATATTTTCAAGTTACTCTTTCTAAATGAAATTTTAACTTTACACTATAATTTTAAAGAAAATATCTGTCATACCTTATAGTTTTGTGTTTTCAAACAAATGTAAAGGCTGCCCGCACAATAAAATACGTTATCGTTTGTAGAATGTCACTCAAATGGTATAAAAAAGGACAAAAGTCATCTTCTTTTTCATTTCATACGTATCCTGCACCTGTCTGCACACTACAATGTCGTTTCTTCTGTAAGCAGTCCAAACACTACTTCTACAATACGGCTGAAATGCTGCGTTGCTATATGTTTTGCGGAACCGAGTAAGGCAAATGACGAAGTAATAGTCTCTATTTTGACACTTTCCATAAAGCAATAGAACCTTGTTAAGCCAAGTAACTATTATTTTTTATATAAGTTACGCCATTTAGAATGAATTTCAAGTGCAAGCTCGATACTATTTCCTGCAAATATAATTTATAATATAGTAGAAATATACTTTTCGTGAAATGATGTTAATTTTAATGTAAAAATGGTCTCATGTATGTTCTACGTAGAACATTTTTTTGAGTCTTAGACAAGATATATGAATAATTTTTACATATATTTATGCATGAAATTATTATTATTATTTTGTTATAAAAAGAACTATTTATAAGTGTTTGGAATTGTTGCATTGGTCTCCGATTTTCATTCACTATAATATATGTTGTATAAGAATAAAAATTAGTTTTGGCGTGGTACAAGACAAGACAAGAATACACTGTTTTTCGTCTTCTCTTGTGCTGAGCTTTCATAATATACCTTTTGGTTCTGAAGAATAGGTCTTATTGGAGAATGTAAAAGGTTGCTCTACTTTGTTAAACATTCTCAAATTGCAATTAGTTTGGTTAAAATTTATTCCTTCATTGAGAGAAGTATAAAGTTCTTGAAGAAACAATTTCCACCTAGGTTTAAAATAGTCTTCGATGATTCCTGACCATTGTTTGTTTGCATAATCAATAATTTCTCCATTCGGCCCCCAAAGTGTTATTTGATTTTTAGCATTGTATTCGTAAATATTCATTTCCATTTTATTTGTAGCAAGAGATTTTGCATCTTTCAGCCAAACACCAAGCAAGAAATTTTTACTAGTTGCTAAAATACGTTCCAAGTCGTCGAATAGATTGAGTAACATCATAGAGTGAAACCTTTAAAACAGTGTCATAACAAATATTATTATTAATATACCTACCAGATTACTTTATATTAATTAAAATATCCTAGCTAAATAATTTAATTTAATATGAATACCCGGATCAAATAACTCGACCGACGCTCGGACGAACGCTCTATTACCAGTCAAGTAGCAGTGACAGCCTGTGGGCGGCTCACTGCTACCCGACTACCATTAGAGCGTGCGTCCGAGCGTCGGTCGAGTTATTTGATCCGAGTATTCATATATTGTGTTGCATCAATATTCATCATATTGTCGTGCAATATTAATGCACATATCAAATCCATTATGAATAACTCATATATAACTGGAAAAATATTAAAATACTAGATAGTATTTAATACGCACTTCAGATCTGATGTATTACGTTTAATAAAAGCATCCAAAATTTTTAAATAAATTTTATCAGCTTTTACTTGAAGAACCTGCCTCGTTACATCAACTAAATCATGCTTATAGAGACTGCTGCTACCTCTGCTATGTCTGCCCATTAAAAGCATATCCCAAGCAGATAAAATGATATCAGAATCATACCAAGTCTACAATTCAAGTTAAATTTCGATAAATATTTGTAATAATAAAAAAATATATTTATTGTATTTTCTTGAAGAAATAATAGAAACTTAAATTTTTTAAAATAATTTCTCCAAATTACTGATGCATTTAAACTTAAAGTGTGAACAAAGTCAAGTGGTATAAATAGGCAAAAAGAAAATGAAGAAAACAACTAAAAGATTAATTACCAAGTCCACTTCTGGGCCGAAAGGCTGAAGCTTAATAAATAAATTATAATAATAACTAAAAGATTAGTTACACTGAAAAAAAATCCTAGTTAGTCTAACCCGAATAGAATGTTAAATATACCCTTACTACTTTTTCTGGTTAGAAATATTAGAAAATCTGGTTGAAAATTTTTTGTTGATTATCCGGTCAATTTAACCATAAATTCTTGTTAAACATACCAGAATTTTTCAAGTAACAATTTTTTGATTATTTATTTACATATTACATTCTAGTTGATCTTACCAGAAATTATCCAGAATGGTTTAATTAGAATTTATAAAAAATTATTATATACAATGCCATGCACGTACCCATACTTTAATTTTAAGACTCGGTTTCCTTGTTATAACATAATGACCTCGAATTCTTTGAGGTCCACTAAAATTGTAAACAGATTTTCCAAGTTTTTTCCAAGCATCTGTGGTATATTCATTCCAAGAACCATATCTTCTAGAAGCATAATTCTCAAACCTATTGAAATTGAAATATGCTTAAAAGTAACAAAATTAAGGATCTGGGGTAGTAATAAAAATGTCCGAACTTATTCCCTGTTAGTTATAAAAAAATTTTGTATTACACGCACATGTGTAAAATATTATTACACTCACGCTATCATTAAGGTCACCCACTTTAATCATAAATAACTATAATTCTAAATATTTTAAGACGTTTTTCGTAACTTGAGTTATAAATTAAATAACATACCACGTTTCTAAATTTACAGGCTTTTGATGATAACCCATTTCAATCATAAATTCATATATCACATAATTTTGATTTATTCCTTCAGGTGTCAAACCTATTCCTATCATAGTACTTCCATTAAAATTTCTGCCTTCAAAAACTCGCTATAAAAATAAATAATCTTCTAAATAAAAGTGTGAAAAGTCCTAATCCATCTGTAATTGGATTGAAATCCAAAAAGAGAACGGAATCATTCCGTATTAATTCGGAATTATCCCGGACATAAATTCAAAGCTGAAATGAGTTGAAAAATAGCCCAAAATCAATTCGGATTTAGTCTACAACTAAATTCGTATTGACCTCGAATTAGTCTACATAAAAATACAAATTCAAGAGGAGTCCGGAATCTCTTCAAAAGTGAATAATATCAATTTGTAATTATCCGAATTTAGTCCGCAAAAAAATACTAAATTACAAATGAGCTCAAAAATAATGTGCATTAATTCGAAATAAGCTCGAAAATAGGTATTCAAAATAAGCACGGAGTATCTTTCGAAATTACTTTCTTAATCAAAGACATTGTACATGGTTGGAGACTAATTTTGGTTGTTAAACTTGATCTAAACTAATCAATATCATAATTCAGAAAAATAAAAAAAAATTTCTTGAAATTTAAAAAATTAAGGTTTAGAAAGAATTTACAAAATGATGACAATCTTAATATAAATAATGGAGTAAATACCTCATTTATTATTTCTGATGAACCAAACATTCCAAGAGTACCTCCAAAATTGTGAAGCATACACCAAATAAATGGCTGCCCAAAGTAGGATTTCAGCCTTTTGTACTGAGGAAATTGTTCAGATTGTAAATCTAGTATTATCATTTTTCCCTAAAATAGAAAATATTCTTAGTTAAAAGTACACCTGGGGCAGATTATAAATTACTTTAACCAATACTTACTGTTGGTACAGATGTTACAAAAGCTTTAACTTTGGACTCTGTCCAAAATTGAAAATCGTGCACAAACATCCATCCTTGCATTAACCTAAAGATAAAAATGAAAATAATATACTTAAGTGGGTTATTTTTTTACTTTGAAACAAATTTGGGGTAGTCAAAGAATATCATTTCTGACTTGTTTTTTTCGACTACCTAATATGTTGATCTACATGTGAGTGATTTTTTTGAATTTGTTCCAATTAAAAATAACAAAATTGATAGATTGGTACTCAAGTCATATGGTTACAGAAATGTAACATATGCATATTACAAACATATTCTTAAAACGTTAACTGCGTTAACTGCTGTGCGTGCACTTACCAAATTGCTTCAGTATCTACGGTAACCATAGCTTTAAATATTGCCTTGCCAACATCCCTTAGATATGACAAATCAGCACTACTTGGTTTGTTTTCATTAAACGCATCGCAGTTATAAATATGATCTGAGCCAAACTCTTCTATATACTAAAATACAATATTAGTTTACATTTTTTCGAAGAAATAAAATATAACTTTTGGAAACATAATTAGCTTCACGATATAACGAAATAATAATATCTAAAGAGTAATGAAACTTAATTATTTTTTTATCATAATATGTCGCACCTTTCTTAAAAATGTTGTCCCAAGTACTTGAAACAGAGTATCTGTAGGCTCTAGCATAAGAGGACTGAAAAATATTATTATTATAAATATGTAGTTGACTGAAAATTGTTTCGTACAGTTACTTACCAACAATATTGATCTTGAAATGTATTCCATACACCAATTTTTGTCATAACTGCATGTGGAAAATATTTAGCAAGTGCTCTTGGTACTTGTCCAGAAAATGCAGGTAAAACAGATTTTATACCAAGATTTCTCATCCTCTTCAAAATCTTATGCTGCAATTCAATTGTGCGATTATGCCACGATGAAGTTAATGGTCCTCCCCATCCTCTAATATTTCCCATTCTAGACCTGTAAGTTATTCATAAACAAGCAACTTTCGATTCCAATTTAGCATCAGACATATAGTGGAAGGAATAGCATGGGACCCTAGCTCTCTTGAAGTACTCTAACTAGATAATTAAAAAATGTTTTATACCATGGTAAAAATGCTGGCCCTCCAAAATGTTCGTTTATCTCACTGAGAGTTAAATTCATATCCAAGTAAACTCTTTGCCAAATGGCTTCTTGACCAAGAAATGCAAGAGATAAGTTTATTCCATTCAGAGCCATCCAATCAATATGTTTCTCCCATTGCTCCCATTGCCACCAAACCGTACTGTATCCTCCTAAACAAACATTTTGGTAGTATCTAAATCTGCAAAAAATTGCATCTTCTCAAACTCTTTACATTCTTATCACATTTCACTTTATAATTATATTATTGCCTGGCTCTTTTTATAAAGAATAAAAGTCAATAAATTCACTTGTCATTCGCTGTTATAGTCAAATTGACTTCCGGAAAAGCGTTTGGCAATTCTAATTGAGATCCTTCCCAAGAAATATGAACATTACAAAATTTCTTTAAATAATAATGTAGTCCCCAAGCTGCTGCAACACCAGAACTTCCAAGAATCGTAAGAATTCCTTCAGAGTTTTTAATAACCTAAGAAATGGAAGAAAACCTTTTTAGTAAGTTATATTAACCTTATGCGTTCGAAAATGACCGTTATCAAACTTTTTCGTGTAAGACAATACAAAAAAAGTCAATGATTACCTTTTTGAGTTGAAAAAATTATTTAATCTCTTAAGCGAATTTGAATAAACAAATAGTCACAAATAAAGAATGAAAGTGAATTCTAAAGAACTACATGTTAATTCGTGAACAAGAATTGAGAGTTAAGTTAATTAATCTTTAATATATTATGTTATATTAAATTTAAAGCCTCCAATTTTATCTCATAAATAATAATGCATTTTAAAATACTTTTAATAACTTTTTGGAAACAATTTAAAAATGACTATCTTATAAGAAGATGCCTTCTATTTAATGAGAATTTTTTTTAAATAATTAATTAAATGACACTCACCTTAAATGTGTCCTTACCGTTACCGAGTTTAAAATCAACAGCTATAGATATACGTTTTGATAATTTACCCAAGAGTCGGGCTGACAATTTTCGTACTTCATTTGTTTGAATTTTTGATGTAGTTTCAACATTTACATTGTCTTTAAAATAAAGTTATAATGAATATATTTTGGTGTAGCAAATATATTAAGGTAGTATCCTTGCAGAAAGAATTCAGTATTAAATTTGAATTGAATAAAATTGAAATTATATTCTTAAAAAATTGTAATTCAGTCATCTCTCTGAATTGTAAGGTTTTGGGTCCTTTTTTCGGTAGGGAAGAAAATTAATTTTATTCCGTTCTAAATAGAATCTTTAATTTCATTGTAGGGAAAACAAATAAATATATATATATATATAGAGAGAGAGAGATTAATCAGTTAATATTTCAGACTTTCAACATCATTATCAATATATCGCAAAGTTACTACCTTAAAAAGAATAAAAATTTATCAAGTAGCACATATCAACAATTAAAAATATTTATCAGTTTAAAGATTCAGATTATCCATATGCGGTACTAAATTTGTGCAAAAAAATTTAAAAAACTTAAATACAAGTTTAAATTCTTAACAGTGGAAATAATAAAGAAGAATTAATAAAAGAAGTAATCTATAGTTCTTTTTTATTACCAAAAAAAGCAAAATTATTATTCTATCTATTTATTTAAGGAAAAAAAAAAATATATATATATATATTTAAGTAAAACTTACTTAATTTTTCTAATGCTGTGCTAGGGAGAAATAAAAGTACAATAAGGCTAAACAGTATAAAAAATGTAAAACATTTCAGGGTAAACATTACGATATTCTATAAACATATATAGTCTTCAACTAATTTGCGTATTCATTACTGACAGTTAGAAACACTCATTCAAGCTTATTTATTGACTGAAGATCACTTAGTATCTTACACTGAGAGAAGTGTAGGATGTCCGGATGTTAGACAACCCAACAGAGCCCTCTGCAGTACTAAATGTGTAACGCAATGAACTTACAAATCAGGAAAACTGACTGATGCTTAGTTTGGGACGTCTGATGTTCAAAAATTGAGATTACTGTTCGACTGTTTGTTCTTATCAAAATTCTCCATTTTCTATAATTCTCAATTTTATTTTTATTCTTTTTCAATTTTTTCTTAAAATTTTCTTTGTTTCAGAATTAAATTTTTTTCTATTTTATTAATTTCTTCGACTTTTTATCATTTTTTCTCAAATTTTTCTGTTTTTAATATTTCCTCAAATTTTCTTTTAATTAAAAAATTCTTAAAATTTATTTATCAGAGAGTCTACTAACTAGAAAAACAAAAAGCCAATGTATTCGCAAACTGCCAAAACGATTGCCTTTATTTATGAGCAGCCTGCAGGATTGAAAAAATAAATTAAAATTTTTTGAAGGTGACAATAAGTTCTTCATCACTATTTCACATGGTACTAAAAATACGTAACTATTAGTAAAAAATAAAAAAAAAGAATCTTTCAGAATTGTAAATTAGTTTTAATATAAGAGTTACTGAATCAGATTTAACAAAAAAAAGAAAATATACATTTACAAAAAGAATTTCCTTCTACTTGTTTCCATTTCATGACGACGTCCCTCAATAATCCATTCAAAATCTCCATGCTTACTATCAAAAGTTCCGTATTGTAAAGACTTAACTTTTAATGTAAATCTTGGTCCCAATTCTCGCAACCTAGGTTTCCCAGTATTTGAATTAAATTCGTATCTAAAAAAATATTTAAAGTAAATCAAATTGAAGACCAGCAGAAATTTGAAGTTTTCATTTTCCTACAAAGTATATTCATTGTAATAGGTGTGACATTTTGAGTAAAAACTGTTAAAATTTTTAATATCATTGATTTAGAATCTTACGGTTATATGTGATTTAAATAAACTCTATTAAGTCTCTATTAGTTAGTTTTAACATTTTTAACACTAATTCAAATCTTATATGCTTATTATTATATATATTCCGTTTATCTGAGCTTATTTAGCTCACGTAATTTTTGAAATACATCTTGTACTTTTATTATTCTCTAATTTAAAATATATGATTATTTCATTATGTTTCAAATAAAATTTTATAAATATGTAGTTGAATTGGTAAAAATCATATTAAAATTTAGTTTTACACTGATTACAATTTACTTTTTAACACAAAAGATAAAATATGATGATTGAAAATTTACCTACTTAATTTCTTTATATAATTTTAAATAACTGTATTATCACCTGTGATGTCTGAAAAAAATATAGTCACGTTGATTATGGAATGTAACAACTCTTCGCCCTTTAAATTCTGGTTGATAATGAAATAAGGCGCCCAACATTCTGCCTACTGAATGTCCTAAACGAGTCGTAAAATTATTCAAAATAACTTCTGGGCGGTGATTAGTAATTTCTTTGTGACTACGTTTTAATTCTGGAGTAATTTTCACATTGCTTAATTTGCACTGTAATGTTGGACCATCCGGTAAATGAATAATCAGCAAGCCATCTTAATAATTCAGGAAATTAATTAAAATTTTTATATTTGTAGAAATAACCATGCAAACAAATTATTCCAATGAAAAATATTTTTTACGATTAGCAATTTTTACCTTTGCTTTTTGTTTTTAAGGTATTTACTTTTTACATAGCATTAAACTACTTAGAAGTTTGATTTTCGTTAAACCACTTACCTAATCATAATAATTTTGAAAAGGCATAATTTTAAGTTATATTGATTTATTATAATTAACTAAACTATAAATTTCCTGAAATTTTTATGTAAAATATAAAACTAGCATAAAAGGATACTTGGTTCTGATCTATTTTCATTCACAATAATAATATCTGTAAAACTTTTGGCTGTAGCACTTTTCACCATCTTTTTAACACCAGATCGATTTCTATACAATGATATTGAGTTTGGAATTATTCTTGTTAATTCGCGGCCAAAAATTCTTGTTTTCTTAGTAGGATTGTCAGAATATGTTATTAAAACTTTAGGTTCATAATCATGTCGATAATATGAAGCAAACTCATCCTGTTCAATGTCTTCTTTAACTTCTACATTTTTTGGATCATCTAAACTTCCATGTATGACTGTTTCATCTTTCTCGCGCAAACTTTCTATAGTATGAGGTACTTGCTTAGCTACGCCAGTCTGCAATCTCAGTTTTCTAGCTTCCCGTTTAGCTTTTGCTTTTTCTCTTTTAAATTTTTCTCTTTTTTGACGTCGAACTATTTTACATTTTATTTGACTAAAATTACCATCAATGGGGAGTTTAGTATCTTTACTATTCACTTCATTGATATTTAACACATTTTCAACCTGGGAGTCATTAATTCCACTCTGCGATATTCGATGCAATGGATTAACGCGTAAACCTTTTACCTTCATATTTAATTAATTATTTAAATTTAATTAAATTGATTTATTATTCAACAATCACTATGGGCAAGCATGGATTTAAGCACGTGTCTTTTTGCCACAAACACTTTACAACTCTAGATAGGAGTCTCCTTCTATTTGTTGTTCTCTTTCTGTTGTAGCCAGGGATGAGTAGGTTTACATACTTCATGCTGAGTTTACATTGGCTGCGCAAACGTTCACATCGACTTCTGCGCAGCCAATGTATACTTATCATCAAATGGGTGACGTCAGCACGGAATGTTGGAACATGGGACGATCTTTTCTCTTTCTGAAATGTAGCCGTTTCTGAATTGGGATTTTTAACACATTTTTGATAAAGTGTATACTCGGAAGTATGCAATGTTTTTGTTTTTCCGTGAGAAAAAAAGGACACTGCATACTTCCTGAGTATACACTTTACCAAAAGTGCGCTAAAAATCCCAATTCGAAAACGGACATGTGATTACACCCTTAAGGTACTCTCTCTTTCCTGCATGCATGCAGGAGTTGTCATGGCAACGTACAGGAGTAATAGAGATAGTAAATTCAAATTTGAATTTTTTTCTCACTAAAGGCGCTCTCACACCTTTTTAGCTGCCTGCAGGTTACCACGGCAACGCATGAGAGTGAGTGCGACAGAAAATTTGAATATTCAAATTTTCTGTCTTACTCACACCCGTGCTTTGCCATGGTAACCTACAGGCAGCTAAAAAGTTGTGATTGCGCCATTACTTTTCAATGTTGCCATGACAACTCCTGCATGCATGCATGCTGGTGTAACACGCAGGAATTTTAAAACTGATTAAAGGTTCGTCTACAATATCAATGTTACAAGAATAGATAGTCTTGAATATGATTTTCGTAGATGGAACTGCACAGGAACAACCGACGTTGATTAAAGGTGTTTTCACAACACTATTAGGATAAATATTATAGAAGTTCACTTAGTTTTTGTTTAATTAAATTGTTAATTATTTATACTTTTCTTTTAACTTCACTTTAGTTCTTTTGAATGATTTCGAATCTCATTAAAATCCTGAAGGATTAACTTGTTGAGAGGATTAAATAAAACATAATTAAGATTAAATATATTAATTGTTTTATTCAACAATTTATTTTAAATCTGAGTTCTTCCCTTTTATCCTTAAACTAATAATAAAATTACACTATTCGCCTCAAATTTTAAACTTGGATTTGAGCTTTATCTATATTTTTAAATTCGTGTCAGAGTCAGAACCAAAATCTCTATCTCTGTATCTTGACTTCTCTATAGTATCAGAATAACCCTTTTATTTCTTCCTGACTTTCTTTCTCTCTGGCTAGCAACCTCGATCATCCTCCTTTTATAGCAGTATTCCCACTTTTCTTCCAATCTGAGTCTAAATGTACCAACGAATCCTGCTTCGCAGTGATGACTCACGCTTAACAATTCCTCCAATTAGAGACATGCATTTAGTAATACTCCGCCCCATTTGACCTTGTTTGCCTCATCCCCATGAGTCATATTCTATTTTGGACGTCACTGTGACCTTGTTATTGTCGCGTAGGAGTATGACTCATGCTTGACCTTGTTATTGTCGCGTAGGAGTATGACTCATGCTTGACCTTGTTATTGTCAAGTAGGAGTATGACTCATGCTTGACCTTGTTATTGTCAAGTAGAAGTATGACTCATGCTTGATTTTATATTATGACTCATTCGTGTCTGCATTACATCCTTGAATTGATAATTATCCCTTTATAATTAAACTTCCCTTCAGCTTATTTTAACCCTTTTTACGCTAATTTATTATACAATAACCCTTTATATTTATATTAATTGCAAAATAATTAATTAGTTACAAAATAACAATGTCTAATTGAAAAAACTCAGATTCATTGCAAAAGGACCTTAATTACATTATTTCTTAAGTCCTTTCGACGTCTGCAGCCGATTTCAAAAATAGGTACTCGCATTTACCTGAAACAATCCTTCAGAGGAAAGGGGAAACTGCAGAAAACCCTTCCTAAGTACCCTTTAATCTAATATCATACCTTTATTTGAAACTCTTTTCACTCTTGCATACTTTTATTACTATTGTTTAATTTCTTATTACTTTTATTCTTAAATTCATCTTTTATATATTTATTAATTCTTCTTATAACTATTTTCTTTTTTACATATCTTTCATTCTTATATCTTATCTTTATCTACTCCTTTCTCTATCTTTATTTTATATCCCTTTTTTTTACACATTGCCTTTACTTATCATACATATTTCTCTTTCTCTTTTACACAATTTTCTTATAATTTACCTGTCTCTAACTCTGTTTTTCTTATTTATGTCAATTCATTATTCTTTGTTTCTCTCTCTTTCTCTCCTTCTTAAAATTAAGACTAGTACTCAGTGCTCTTAAAACAAGATATCAAATTAAATTTAAATATTACGGTACTCTACCCAGCCGTGGGCAGAGGAGCGTTACACTCCTCCCCTTATACAAAAATTTTGAATCATATTCAATAATTTTTACTTTATTCATTAAAAATCAAAAAAAAAAATTAAACTAATTTTAAAATTGGTTAAAGTGTGAAAATTTTTTTTTTTTTTTTTGATATCCATACATATACATACTCACATACACATACTTACGCAAATACACACATATATATACATCTACACATATACATATACACATACCTACATACACATACATATATTCAAACAAATACAATTACATAAATACATATGCGCACCCCAAAAAAAAGCAATTCTCAATCCAGAGGACTCCTCTAAAATAAATGCATATTTTCCTCTCAATTTTAGTATCAAAATTATTATTCTTCATTTAAGAGGATTCTCCTCTTAAATTAAATGTCGACATCCAAACCTCGTAAAATTGTTTTTAATGTCAAAGCCATCAATAAAATAATTATAATTTCAATCAAATAATAAAATCTTTGCAGAAAATATATTTTTAAATTAAAATTAAGTAAAATTATAATAGTTCATTTCAATATAATAATAAAAATTGTTTTTTAATATAACATTAACAATGTCATGTTTTTGGTTAATTATCAACATTTTATATTGATAATTAAAATACAAAAAATAAGTTTTCATTAATCAGTTGTAATGATCAACGAGATTTTCAGCGCAAAAATAATTTTAAAACATGATGATATGTTTAAAAGTTAACATTTTTTATAGGACAGAAAAAAAAATTTCATATATGAAATTATTTAACGTTTTAAAACTTTTTTAAAAAAGTAAATAAAAAGATTTAAAAAATTCGAAAGATTCAAAAATGGGGTTATAGTATTTCTATTTACCTGAGTAGTAAAATTTCACAAGAAATATCCAAATTTTTTTAAATCTAAAAATAGCGTTAAAAATTTTCATTTAATTTGAATTTAACTATATTTTCTGTATTTTTAATAAAGCAAATCCATTTTTTTGTCCTTTTTGTTGACATTTTACCAGAAATATTAAAACTGAAAGGTTAAAAAACAACTTCACAACTATCATACCCAGGGAAAGGGATCAAACGATTACATTATTTTTTTCCGTTTCCTTTTTTTAAATCTTCTAAATTTAAAACGGAAAATCTCAATTAAAGAGGAAAATACAAAAGGAATCCTTTTGTCATTCTTCCATTAAAATGAAGAATAAAAATATTCCACATTTCAACTGAATAATCTTGTTTTAAGAGGAAATACTCATAGGATATTAGAAGAGGAATTTTCCTCCAAGTACAAGATTACCCCTTCCTTTTGGGTGCGAATAATACTGTCCAATTTGTAAAAGAGTAACATAAACATGCATAGGTATACCTGACCCAATTAAGAAAATTTGTTGATATTATAAATTATACTTTTGTAGGAATAAAAAAAATTTGATTTGATAATTAACATACAAACATAAGTCTTTCAACTATTTTTAAAAAATTCCAAAATTATACTGAAATTTTAAGTAAATTGAATTTCCCACAGAAATTAAACTGTTAATTATTTGAAAAGGTTAATAAATTTAAATTTTAGTACCGATTATTTTTTTTTTAAATTAATTAATTAAAAGGGTCATAAAAGGGTCTCATGGAATCGATCATGTCCAAGCTCTTCACTTTGCCAGGACTGCACATTATATTTCAATAGATAGTCTAATTATTATTATACATACATATATACATATACATACATCCCCTCATATATACATATATATACATCCTCTCATATATACACATATATACATCCTCTCATATATACATATATATATACATCCTCTCATATATACATATATATACATCCTCTCATATATACATATATATACATCCTCTCATATATACATATATATACATCCTCTCATATATACATATATATACATCCTCTCATATATACATATATATACATCCTCTCATATATACATATATATACACCCCCTTTTTCTTCTTTTTTTTTTTTTATTCCCTCTTCCCCTTTTTTCTTTTTTTTTAAAAAAGAATGCCTTTGAAAATTTTACTATAGGTCGAGAATGTTTTTTTTTTTTTTTAATTTAGAACAAATGGGTAGATTAAAAATAAAATAATAAATTATTTACAAGAAAATATTATATATTTAAATTAGATACCTCTGATCTACAAAATCGTCATATAATATATATATGCATCAGTACATATGTAGTTTTTGGTTGCTTTGCTCTCTTTTTTTTTTAAAATAAATTATTATTAAACTAGTCAGTCTCACTGATTTTAGTATAATAATACTGTTCCAGTAGCACCTTTATAGACTACATTACTGCAAAATAAAAAAAAAACTGCCCTCTATTTAAAATAATAAAAAAAAATTAAGAAGAAACAAAAAAAAATATTAAATAAGTCCGAACTTAAATTTTTGTTTAACTCGATACAAATGATTAATTAGAAAATATAAAAATAAGAAAATTCTTTTCTCATTTTAAAAAAAAGACACGTTAATATAATAAAAATAATATTAAAGTTGTTTGTAAAAAAAAAAAGGAAATTAAAATCACTTTTAACCTCTTGGAAGAGGTTCGGGTTCTTCAATGAAAATTTCCTGCACTTCGTGTGGACGATGTTGAAAGTGCTCCCAGTTATTTGCATAAATTTTGCGGCAATGGA